GTTTTATTTATAGAAAGAGGGAAAATAATGATAAAGCTGGATTCAAAAACATTCCCTTAAATATGCATAAATTTACTATAGGCCCTACCAACAAATGGTTTCTTTCATCGATATCATGTTCTTACATTTCATACATTTTTGGAACGTTTGGAATGTAGACTTGAGATAATTTCACGTAATTCAAATAATTGCTGTATAATTTTGATTAAATTATTTTGTTTGTTTCAGCCATCATTTTCAAATCTCTTAGGCAGATTCAGAGGGGAGGGTTTGAAGTAAAATAAAGAGAAATTAATTTGTTTCGAAGTTGATATCTTGCGGCTAAAATTCTCAGCTGTTTCATTGATTTAACAAAAAATATATCAAAGTGTAACGTAAACATGTGCATCTACTTTACACTTCATGTCCCGATGAGTGATGCTTTATTTTGTGTCCTGCAAGTTACATCTGAAGTGCCTCATACGAGTGTTCTATGTCGTGTAACGTCTCAAGGACAGCAGCACATAAAGTGCTTCATTTAGCTCTTTCTTCATGTGCTCATATTGCAGTACCTCAGTTATAGAAGCACCCGAAATGCATCTGTTTGGTTACAACAGGTGCTCTTGTGGCACCTCTTTAAGGACAGTAGCACTTGAAGCGTTTTAGTTTACCTCCAGAAGTGCTTGGTTGAGCTGTTGTTGAGTGCTCTCATTGTATATAGCACAGATGCAGGTGCTCAATCTGCGTGGCACGTGCTGTCACAATGCGAGCACCTTCAAGTGCACAAATTTTGATCTTCAAGTGCAAACGTATTAATTCCAATTTTAGAGCGTATAGGGACGCTAATAAAACATGTTACATGTCTTTTAGGGATTTTCCGAATGGTTTGTTTTGACAGGCTGTGTTTACACAGTCTGGCGTTTTGACGGTGAGAGTGTACATGCCCATGATCAAAAGCAGAGAGATCCCTGCCAATCAGAGATTGGCCTCTCTCACTCAGAACACTAGGTTTGTTTTTTATAACTGTTCTCTGTCTCTCAAACAGTGTTTGTCGAGAAGTCACAGGCTTAAGTGGGCGTCACATAAAATGACGGAAACGTAGTTAATATCGACGTTGCTTATGCATTTTATCGTTCACGTTTCAGTGCTGATTTACTTTGGGTCTCGGGGAGCACTGTGTAAATGGTACTTTACGGCACACTTTCTTGTTCCAAAAAAGGGACGTGTTGATAAATGCGTGCGCCGTGAATATCTGTTTTTCAACAATAAATAAATAAATAAACTGGCTGGAGGCCAATCGTACAGTATTTGTCATTAAAAAAGAAAAAAGGGTCCGTTTAATTAAGTTTCGGTTTAGTTAAGAGGAATTCGTTTTCGTGATGACAGTTCGTTTCGTTGACTGTGGCGTCAGGCTGCTGCTTGGCTGACTTTGAATGGTCAGTCAGCGCGCAGCCGCTCCGTTAATGAGCAATTTTGGCAATTCCATTTGCACGCAAAACGATCTCGCGGGTACATGGGAGTTCGCGAGAAAAAACGAGAATACAGTAGTGTCCCTTCAACCCGCCAGGAAACCTGTTGCTTCATTCGTGGGTCGAAATGGCTTGGTGGGTAGATAGTTGACGTTTTTCCTTATCAGTAAAGTTATGTTTCGGCGATGATCGACACTTTCCCAACAATTTATTTGGACGCAAACTTGCTTAGTGTTTTTCACGAAAATCGCAGGCCTCCTCTTTATTAAGTGCACCTGACTGTTTCGCAATAACTGGATAAAATTGATACAATTCTTCAGGAAAAGGATGAAACATCCGTTTAAAGCCAATATTTTCGCTGCTGGGCAAATCAAAATATTAAAGTTTTATGCACTACTCACTCAGCGATCCCGGCAGTGTTTACATTTTTGCGAGACGAATGGTACGTCTGGTTCCCTATTAAACGACCAACATTTACTAGGTTTCCTTCGATGCAAAGTCTGGGTTCCCGATTTTGGTCACACACATTTACGCGTATACCCAGCAAGAAATGAGACCGAGGGGTACCCCCCCAACATGTCCGATCCCTATACACATTCCAGACTATTGTTACTTAACACATCCCCCCAAGATGTCTGCAAGGAATTCCCCAGATTCCTGCGAGACAATGACCAACACAAAGCAGGGGGGGGTTCTCCCCGTCTCATACCTTGCTGCATATGTTTACGCGTATCTCTGATGTCATTTGATTGGCCAGTATTAGAGGGAATATGTCAATTAACCAATCATAGATAGTCTTTCACGAAACACATACGGAGGTTTTCTCGGTCAATTAATCTCACGAAGTCTAAACCTGCGGTAACGAAATATTTTTGGTGCACTTGACTGTTTCGCAACGACTTGAAAAGTAAAAACATATTGTTTGGCTGGATATATGACATATCTATCTTTCTGCTGTCAAGAAGATTCTGCCGGCCCAGACTTGGATCCACTAAAACCAGTTGTTTTTTTGTACCCTCATTTTTACACACGAAAGCCTACGTATTACGGTTAATATCCTTCAAAAGAGACTGCAAATATTTGTATTTTTACAAAGGACACGAGACTGATATCTTAACTGTTCATTTATGTAAAGATATTCCATTCTTAAAGGCAACACAAGGTGGTATACAATTTCGAAAAGTCCACTACATAGCTCGTTATATATGCATGATTCAGACAGCCGTGCATACGCAGCAAATGAAAGGAGCCGCTTTTACGGGTGCTGGGCACTGACTGGATCACTGAATGGCTCTTAATTGCCTCCTTGCCGGCATAACGACTTGCATTTTCTCAACTGATCGATTTGTGTCTTGTATTCAAAGCACTGGATAATTAGTCCCCAGTCTCAGCAAGCTATACTTCAGCCCATTTCTGGAGAGCCTGCTTGAAATTGGAATCCAAAATAGCTCCACAGCGCAGGGAAATTTCACCCAAATGTTGTCGTCTTTACCTCCCTAAGAGTCAGGAATAGTGAACTGTTGTTTACTACCCAACAAATATTGGGAGACATTTTGTGGTAAATTTTTCAACATTAGGGAGACATTTCAATGTCTCCCTGATGCTCCAACTACCAAAAGGAGGAAAATTTTTATTGTCCACATTTTGAGAGATGATAGATTACGGTCTGAAAGGAAAACATGCAAAGTTTGGGTTAAGATCAGATTAGGGAATATTGAATTATGGGACGGTAAAGTTTGAAAAATTTTGTGCACGTTCCTATGGGAATGTCTCCCAAGTGACCCATTTTCGGTAATAATAATTATTTTTATCATGATCCTGTAGAAGTTACCGCTCTGCGGGTGATTTACTGGCCTGTAACCCCATGCGTGTACTCATCAGAATGTGTCGCAAAGTGAGTACTAGTTTGACACATCCCTCATTTGAGATTCGTAAAAGATTTTACGTAAAATTAAAGACGGCACAATGGTCAAAAAGAATCATTTTCAAAGAATCGAATGCATATATAAGAAATGAATTAGCTCGTCAACTTGGCTCCTAGCCAGTGTGGCATGGGATGTATAGATAAGAGACATCGCAAAGATTAGGAAAGGTTAATACGAGTATTTCAGCGCCATAACAACAATGTTTTTTCGCGATAACTGTTTTTTTTCGAAGTGCGCAGGCTTAAGGCGCCTTTCCATATGCGTGTCAACATGCGTTGCGTATCCGTCAAAATCGGCTTGGACGATTTTGACGGCCAAACGCAACGCACACGTGTGCTTTGCTAATGGAGTCGAATTTTGTGTACCAGAAGTGAAACGCAAGAACGCATCGTATACGCAACCCACCCCAAAACATACATATGGAAAGCGCCTTTAATCCACCCTTATTTTCGATGGGGTTTAAAATGGGGAGAATGAAAATATTGATGTGAAAAATGTGCCTAGAGACAACTGCAAAATGCCATTATAATCCATAATAGCATGGTTCAGCAGAGATGGGCGATCAATAGTCCAACTGCACGCCTAGTGATACCGTGCACGATATGGGGCCGATGGGTACCCCCCATGTCCAATCCCTATACACACTCTAGACTATTGTTACCTAACATATCCCTTCTGGAAGTCTGTAAAGAATTCCTGAGATTCCGATCAAACAATGACCAACACAAAGGCGGCGGCGGGGTGGTTCTCTCCGCCCATATCTTGCATCATATGGACGCTCCGACGAACCTCACAATAATTGAAACGAAATCTGGATCCTAATTTAAGTGGTTAAGAGTCACACGAGTTAACGAGTTTAAAGTGAATTGTGGTGGCTGGCATAAACCACACAAACCTGGCATGGGGAAATTAACACTTCATCCTTAATTCAACAGACGAATAGCTACCGCTGTGAGGAGCCAGTGCAAACTCAACAATTACCTTGGAATTCGAAGACCCAAAATCGAACATCAAATAACCGAGGCTAATTAAAATTGGTGCGGCGTAGGGACAGCGGTTCAGCACCTGTGGGACTGACGGTATACGCGGAAACCAATAGCATAGGTGGTCGGGTACAGGCTGCACTTACAGACGCGGATAACACGCTAACTGAATTCCGTGTTTACGTTTGCTGACGGTCCAAGAAGTCGTCACCGACACCACGAACTGACACTCACCTGCAAGTGGGCGTAAAATCGTGAAAACCGCATTATTAACAATTTCGGTTTCACGAACTGACACCCGGTAGGGCACGCGTACATTGGAACCAAGGCAAAATAGACTGATTTTCGTTTTCACCGACACCCAAGCTCATAAAAACAATACAGCGCGAAGAAAAATGCTGGGAAAAGTTTGACAAGAATCAAATCCATCCGTATACTTGTTGCATCGCACAAAAATGTAATGAAAAGTCGTTTTAACTGGTGAAATTAACATCAGTGTCAGTTTGTGAAAACGAAAATACTTCGGTTACCTAAAATGCAAACAAACTGCATCACCTCGCGCACCACTGAGTGTCAGTTCCTCAGGTGTCTCCGACGTAGGAAATCACTGAGAGTTACACAGAACCTACCTGAACACTGTGTTAGATTATCTCAACGCTGTACGGTGGTCAACGGAGGCAGTTCATGTGACATCGAATTCCCCACGGCCCTGTTCGTAGCTCCGTGACGTCAAGTTGACGCCACAATTGACATACTACATTATGCACATCGACATGGAACTTCAAGTGCCAATACGCCCTCACCGACAGTGATGAGTGTTTATCAGACAACCTCAGCGGAGCTAACCGAGTAACAGTGACCGTTACATTACTAGTGTCTTTGAACTTAGGGAAATTGCTGATGAAAGTTTACATCCACACAAGGTGCAAAGGCGATTCACGAAAGGGATAGCTGCAACAACGGGACTGGAACCACGTTCAGCAGGCCCCCTTTGCAGACTAAGCGGTTAGGGAAAATTTGTTCTGAAACATAAGCGATGCATAGTATGCAGTGCATGACTACTACCTGTTGACGTAACTATTACGGCACGGTCCACTTTGTGCTGTCCTTGCGTTTTCATAGGAAACACCAATCAGGCAACTAATGAGACACGTTTACAATAAAACTTCTTCTGAATTGGTAAAGGGGTTATTTGTTGGATGTAAAACACTAACTTCGAAATCGTCAATCCTTATTTCGATGACTCGTACACCGGAATCAAGGTAAGAATGGTGAAGCTGCTTTCTTTTTTGTGATGTGACGCCGCAAATCACGTCGTGGTGAAAATGGAAAACTCGAGTCTTGTGACCGATGAGAGTGCCACTTTGAACAGGACATTTCCTATCGGTGTCACGGACGACTTTGATTCACCGAGGAAGTATTCCCTACTTGTGCAGTACTGGGCCCTCGTGGTCGGTATACCAGTGGACACCCTGGGCTTTTTAGGGAATCTTATGACCATCATCGTGGTGGCTAAAACGCCGGTTCTCAGGACACCCACTAACCTTTTCATCATCAGCCTGAGCGTGTCGGACCTCTTGTATTGTACCATCGTGCTGCCAGTTCTCCTGACGACATTCTACCGCAACGCCTGGGTCTTTGGCCCGGTCTTCTGCCGGATTCACCCCTTGCTCATGGTCACCTTCGTCGGGGCAACTATCATGTCCCTAGCCGGTACCGCCTTCGGGCGCTGCCTCAAAATCACCCAGTCGCCGCTTTATGGTAAACTGTTCACCATCAAGTGGCGGGCAACCGTCATGATACTGGTGTGTTGGCTCTTACCGTTAATATTTCTCCTCCCGCCCATCACGGGGGTCTGGGGAGACCTGGGCTACGAGCCAAAGACCCTAACCTGCACCTTTCTCCGCGGAGGGAGTAATTCCGGCTACAGTATGTTCTTCATGATATCCGCGCTGATCATCCCGACATTCTCGATAACTTTCTGCTACCTGAAAATCCTACAGACCGTCTGTGCTAACCACAAGCGCGTCCGGAAGATGAGGGTAGTGCCGGCGGACGAGGTGTCGACCGCCACGGAGACTGGGGCCATGGGTTCGATCAAACGACAGCGGAGGATGGCTTACCGGGAGGACATCCAATACACCAAGATGATGCTGTGCATCTTCCTGGTCTTTATTGTCTGCTACGTGCCCTACATGATGGCGACCCTGGTGGACCCACAGGTAAAGAACATGACCTTCCACTTCTTCTGCGGGTCGTGTGTGTGGTTCAGCAGCTGTCTCAACCCCATCGTATACGTGATAATGAACAAACACTTCAGGCAGGCCTGCGTTAAGCTCTTGCCGGCCACCATGCGGGGTCGTGAAGTGACGGAAGTTGTTGGCTTGTAGACATGTATAATCTCTTGCGACGTCAAAGCCACATAATGTATTTTTCTTCGTTTTTGAAAACCCTAACAACGGAGCACTACGCGCATATGCAAAGACCCAAGCGGAGCGTGTCGAGCTGAGAAAAGAACATTTAGTTTGAATGAATGACTGGTAATTTACTATAATGAGGTTTGCTCTCTTCTTGCCTGTCACAAATGCCCGAGTGCCCCTCAAGTTCAGGCGAGTGATATTGAGAATTATTTACTCGTGTGGTTTACAAGCGCGTAATTAAGATCCAAACTCAGTGTCAATCTCGGCCTACCCTAAAAGCCAGTCGAGCAAAACAGTTTCTGCCGGTGTTTACGTGTTTTCCAACCCACCCTTTCATTGCATCCAATGCAGCTTAAGACATTAGGCCTATTTATAGAAACTACGGACTTCGTTTACGAAGGCATTCATTCTCGGTGATACAATATCGAATCGCTTTGTTCAGCATGAATGTATATATACCTGCTTGTTACTGTAAGCCTTATATGGATGGATTTGAATGAATTTATATTGTATAAAAATTGTAATATAATAAAATGTGATGCAACAAATGAATGCTGACAGATAGGCAGGGTACAAGAGAGAGCTGTCTCAACCTCAGCGTGTATATACGTGCAAGTGAACAAACACTTCAGACAGGCCTGCGCCAAGTTCCTGCTCTGCGAGGTTGTGAAGTGACGGGATTTGTTGCTTAGACGTTCATATCTCTTGCGGCGTCAAAGCCACGTTATGTATTTTTTTTCGTTTTAAAATACCGAAACAAGCGAGTACCACTATGAAAATGTAAATTTCCGTCAAATCTGCTGGCAATATCACGGATGAAATTTACAACTCGCGAGGCTGCCACGGTAAAATGGCTGTTTGTATTCAATAGCAGCAAAAAGAGATGTTAATTAACAATCATTGTTTTACAAATGAATTCAAGACAGCCATTCCATGTCCGCAATTTTCAATAAACAATAGTTTGGGTTCATTTTTGTTATCCTTCCCACCCAAAAAGGATCCCTAAATTGTTGAGTGTCCGTTGGTAACTGAAGTATTTTTCACAGCAGTAACACCGGGGCACATTTATAATCCTATTTAGAATAATTTGTTTTTCAAAACGTAAACCAGATACTTTTCTTAAAGATTGAACGGCAATGAATATTTGCACAAGATAGTTTCTGCCTGGCGTTAACTTTTGGTTCCCGAGCCTTTTTACCCACGTCTCAAAAAAAAAAATTAACAGCAACCCTAACGTCTTGAGGCCTCAACGGCAGGTTTAATTGCATGTATGGACACAATCCTTATACCTGAGCCATTATTAAGGGACAGCTATTGCAGGTGGCCACGGTAGTTTTTAAAAAGAACCATCTGAAAGGGATCTTATTTCTTTCCATTTGACGTAAAAATCGCCTGCATGGGACAAAACCGAAAGGAATGTGCCGACATCAGCATAAGTTCCCTGCAAAACAGCACCTTACTGGTTTACCATGCACACATGCACAGAAAACAGACGAATCATTGAATTACCGCTCGATATTTTATACTGTGTTGACAATTCCATTTCTGTCCAACTCCCTTACACGGTAAAAACCCAACGCCCATATATAAATGCGTCTCGGCGTTAATTGTAAGTATGTAACCGTTTGAAACACATATTTGGAAATAAACACGTTTCAGTGTCAAAGTATACCGCCCGATAAACGTGTTTTGAGTCCTTTTTTTTGGAACACCCAACACGTCTTTGTTAAAACAATATATGCACGACACGTTTAGCTTGGAGAAGTAACATCACAGTGTGTTTATACAGTGCGTTCATACAGTGTTACAATAGACGTTTAAAAGGCGTCAAAACGTTAACACTTGTTTTTATAGTGTATTCAACAGTAATCAAAGCTGATGGGTACTTTAGTCTTGGGGTAGTCTGGTTCTCTTTTAACGGTCTTTTACCTCGGGTACTGCACAACGAATGGGGCAAATCCTGGCTTGTTATTTATTACCGTTTTAATACACACAGCAAGGCCCCAAGCCTTTGCACTTTGTGCAATGGCTGGTGCAGTGTTTCCACGTAATGTGAAGTCAAAGCGGAGCTGAAGATAAATAGCTGAAACAAGGCGGCGGTATCAGCCCCAATGGGGCTCTGGGCCCGCTGAGGGTCCGGGATTTTAATGTTGTATAAAATAATGGGAGCTCTTTGCCCCAAGTTCAACAAATCCGTGCATCTAAGACTACAGAATCAATGGCATTTTATAAAGATTGCTTAATTTATACTTTTTTATTTCAATCCTTTTTAAATCGACCTTTATGCAGATGGGGTTACAATGCCACATTTTCGTGTAAAATTAGGGATTACACGCCCGCATTCCGTATACGTTCAACCCTGAAAACCAAGTACCATTATAACTATAGATGATGCTTTATGATTCCGCTGTCAACAGTATATATCCTCTCAATGATTTATTCCATGGTCAAAGGTTTTTACCATTTGGGTCGCCTTTACATACACAAGTGGACTCTGGAATAGAATGTTTCACAGCCACGAGTAATTCGCCGTAATGCCCAATAACAGAGCCACTTTGCTTGCATACGCAATGCCTTGGGCAAGTTTGAGCGGAGAATTCAATTTCAGCGAGTCGCAGTACTTCATGCATGGCATGGCGCCGCAGGCTTCACCTTGACGGAAACAACTTCATTTACATAACATTCCTAAACGATATCAACGATGTCGCACTTAAAGAGAAGTCACAATTTCATAAACTCTCCCCCTTCATAATGTGCGGAAATGAATTTAACCCAAGAGGTAATATGCAAAAATACAATAATCTGGCGACATTTTGCATCGACAATTGGAACTGTTAAAATGTCCAGACATTTCGGGAGTGCCGCAGAGTTCACCTTGCAAATCTTTTTCAATCTACATGTATTTCATTGCTAATTTAAGACCTCACGTTAATTCTTTTTGAGACATTTTCATGTTTATGCCCCACAGACTGGCTACGTTTATTACAAGCGCACATGCGCACCTCATTTGCAATTTCTTTTGCGAGCAGACGACGCGACGTTAGTTGCACCATTTTTTTTCTCACGTACCTCATAAAATACCAAAATGAGGCAAAACAAATGCATTCCGGGAAAATCTAGACTCGGCACCACAAACAACACACTTTTGAAGATTTTAAATGACAGCAAATCTAAAAAATGAAGTTTAAAAACCCTTTCTGCCAAGGAAATGAATAAATATTGCACAAATTTGGACTTCTTTATCAGAAAAGAAGTTTTGATTAAAAAGTCCAACTTCAAATTAAAGATCCACCCTTAGTGCATTGATTTCGTACATTTATTTTGAATCCGCCCGCGGATTAATAATTAATGTTAATAAGTAGGTCATTTCGAAATGCCCCCGACATTGTACCGTCGTTCTAAAATTCAAGACTATTTGTATCGATTCTTACATACCACCAAAATGGTATAGCTGAATACTAGGGTGATTACTTTCTGTATCATACCAATTTCTTCGGTACTGAATACTTGATAACGTAGAATCGTCCAAGTAGAGAGATTTCCTGTTCATCTTTTCCGCTGCTATAGATACTAACCGGTAATGTACCCCGACGTCAACATCGACGCCTTGAGCACAACACATGTACATGTATCTTGTAGCCTAGTCATGTACACATCAATCACACACAATGTAAATATACAGACACGACTGCGCTTGGCCCGCGATTGACCGCTGTCGGCCTACAATGTTACGTAGGAGTTTGTCCTTTCAAGAGTACGATACAGGGACGTCCTCATTTTTATCAAAGTTTGGCAAAACAATAACTGGATTGCAAAAATGAAGTTTCATTTGGACATAAAAGAATTACGAATTGGGCCTACCTCTATCACAGAGTTTTCTGTTTCAAAATGTCCACATTCACACGACTTGGCGCGAAAATTTAGTTCAAATTCAAACCAATCGGAACAGAATTTGTTATCCAGCGGATGCCAAATCTTTGCATGCAATCATCCAGACACTATATCTGCTTTCACTAAAGCTGCATTTTATAACCAGAAAAAAATTATTATTTACTAGAAATTGATCCAATCTGGCAACACTCACTTTCTTCAAGTGAAAAAAGGGGGGTTACTTTAAGCTAGATGGTTTCAGTAAATTTTCTGACGCAGGGCACAATATCAATGCAATTGAAACATAAAATGCTGCGTGAAATCTGAATTTATCATAAATATTTCAATACGCCTTCTCAATTTCCTGAGAATGCATTAACAAAGACGACGCCTAATTTTCGTCCAAAGCGCCTGAGATCAGACATCGCTTGTTGCTATGCTGTTGTTAAGCGCAAATCTTGCGCACACGCACTTCGATAATTAACGCCATGAACATGTGTTCGCGAAAGAAGCGCGTCGAGTTACATGTACCTGTAGCATGTATACGGCCGCGCTGATTTGGCAGACCTCGCATGTATTTTGGGGGGTTGGGTCAATCGGGCCATTCCCCCATAAAAAATGGAGCTAGATGTTTAAACAAATGGGAAAATGGCCAACAATTTGGTCCATTCACTTCCCTTTCTTCGAAAAGCGTGTAAAAAGTACCAAAATATAGCTTCATGGCCCTCAGAAAGGCCATATACCAGGTTACTTGGAAAAACTCAAATTTTGGTCCCCTCCCCCCTACAAAAAGCACATGTATGCCCCTGAAAATTAGGTTCTGGATCCGCCCTAGTGTGCTGATGAAACTAGCTAATCTCTCTGCATTGCAACCTCAGATTTTTTGACAGGCCAACATGAACTAGGAGACGCTTTGCGCGTTATGCAAAGCCATTTGAGCCCGCCCATACAAAGAAATCAATATCTGCTACGATCGTCGGTGACTAGACGGAACACCTTTCTTGCGGCATTACATTCACCGCACTGCGCTTGAAACTTTCTGGGATTGGCGTGTCCGATCTTTATAAAGTCAACGTCCAAACATGACGTGCAGGGTATCACTTTGGGAACTCATAATGGCTACTGGGGAAAATCGAGCAGCGATAGCGGAAAACATATTGAGTTTTAGGCATTCAACACCTACGCTAGATTGTCTCCAAAAGAGGGTGTTTGTGTGTTTCTATCAACTGCCTCGTTAGCTCAGCGACGCGTTGCCGAGACCCGGAGAAAATCCATTTCTCGACTTAAACACATGATTTTTTTTCCATCAAACAGGTGCTACAGTCTATTGCTCAACGGTGCAACGATCAATACCCATACGTACTGCTTCGTGTTGTGAATAGTGGGTTCTAGTCTCCGTTTAACATTACAGACTTTCAGGCATGGTGTCTTTTGTTTAATTATAGAAGGCCCAAAACACTACATGCAGGTGTTTTAAGCGTATAGCAGAAGTTAAAATTTAGTTTGGGTAACTGAATAGTGACGTCGGGAAATGCTGCATTTTTCCCCAACAGATGTCCCTTCCATACTTCGTACATGTGCAAATACAATACAAAAAATATAAATAAAATGTGGACGTCAACCAACAGTACGGCAATTACTGATATCATTCGCAATAGATAGCGGGGCTGGTGTCTTAATAGCCTGTTGCAAATGACAAAAAGCCATCACTGATGATGATAATTCAGCACTTTAATGGATATTAATCATTCATGTACAAGTGCGCAGGAAACCCATTTGTCAGGCCATTGATAAGGCCAGCTCAAACCCAGTGGGAAAGCTAACTGTATATTTTCCGGATGATAGTTCTTCGACAATCCTCGCAAACCATAGATACCCTTTCGCACATGCTAGGTAATGAGGCAAATCATTCATCGGGCAAACTTTCATTTTCTTTTCAAATCCGTGATACATTTATCTTTCTTCCTGTTTCCGTACCATCTGACAATGTAATCAATACCATCTACGAATCCTTCGATTCACTTCGTCAAAGAGGGGTAACATAAAATGATAAATTCATGCCTTAACATTATATATCAGTAGTCGGGGAATAAGGTTAAACAATAACCAACTTTTGTTTTTGAATCTAACTTGTCCACATTAATCCTGATACATAAATAACCTGCTTTTTGCTCCTAGCTGGGGTGCGGTTCCGAGGTCCAGCCTGCTTTGAAGACGTATCATCAGTACATACTCTGAATGCAATGGTGCGTTACTTTTTCATGGTCATTTACGGTCATTCTCAGCAGCATCTCTCTTGGCCCTCAAAACAAGACGACCTTGCATGTTGCAGGGCATCAACTGTATAACTGCACAGGCATCAGCCATTTCTTTTTTACAACTGAAACTTTAAAACAGCTGAACTGCATGAACCCCGTCCACCAATTAAGTTATATTATCGGGAAATGTATTGGTTGACATATCACGACATTGCCAATTTCAAATCAGTGCTTAAGGCCGGCTCTCTGCCACTGAAAAATCCAAATTTTTCAACCCTCCACCACCACCATCCATCAATCTTCTCAGAAAAATCCCGGGTCTGCCACTAAATGGTCATTCAAAAAAATCAATATGCTGATGCTGAGAGGCTGCCCAGCACATTAAAGGAGACTCTTGCCTGGACTGATGCCGGATAAGCTTAATTTAATTAGATATTTGCACGCACACGCATGGACACTTCAATTCACTTCCACCAGGCTTATGTCTCATTTCTGCCAAGTAGAGGGCAGGAAAGTATAATCGTCACGGTGTTAAGCCACTTGTGAAATCTAAAAATCTGAGGAGTTGGTGAGTTGTTGCTTTTCCTCCGTTAATGAGGTCAACAAGTCCCCGTGTGACAAAACTGCCAACTGTTTGTGCTAAGCAAAATAAGGGGCAAACTGATCTCAGGTAATACACTTTGCACTGAACTTTGGCTGGTAACCTGTTTTGTATGTACAGCAAACTTCTGTGCTTTCCGGCAGATCTACATAAGTGAGATCTTGAAAACAGGAAGTATTGGTATTCTACCTGGATGTACATAGCCCCCCCCCCCGACGGGGGGACTATGCACATCCATGTAGAATCAAGATAGCACACACCTTCCTGTTAAGTCCCAAAGCGAGAGGAGCACAAAATCCAACTCTAAAGTCCAAAACCTTGACGACCTGAAATTCATTTTTCTTCACATGAAAAACTCTTAATTTCACATGCAGTTGTATTTATACGGTGGGGCCAGTTCCATGTACAGTCCAGGGGCCTTCACGGAATTAAGGGGATAATTTCTCTTGTCAGGAAAGTCAGAACTGAATTTTGGGGACAAAAATAGATCGCAGCCAAGAGACTGGCAACCATCTATGAGTAGTTTGAGGCAGGCAAATGAAAAGAACACAAAAAATAAACAAAACAAAAGCAAAAACATTTTTCCTACATGTATCTGTGGTGATATTAAAAACCAAATTGCTGGAGAGTGCGCTATCTTCAATTTCCTATGAAAAACACAATGCCATTTTCCCAAGTGTCCCCAGGATTTTTTTCCGATATCGTGTTGTTTTCTGTGCATTAGCAAATCTAGGTACATGCAGACTGAGATCATAAGGTAAGAGCAATGTACATGTAATGCATGTGCTTGATTGCACACTGCTCACAAGTAATCTCCTGACAGCTGCTTCCAGTATACCTCCATTGTGTGGGATCTGATGAGGCAGCTATCTCAGAAAGAAAGAGTCATGGCAACCATTCTACGTATCCCACTGAGAAAACACGGTGAGCATCACATTCACTTTGTTCGTAAAGAAATCCAGATTCATGCAAATGCAGAATTGAAACATTCCATACTTACCAAAGAACTTCTCTGCACTCTGTGCTTGTCACTTCAGTGGGTAGGTCTTCCACAGCACTCGGTGGGCCAACTTAAAGCAATCAATAAAAATGAAAATCAGTATCAGGCACTAAACAGGAATTGTTATCTTTTGTCTCTTGCTCTCCAGAAGCATAATTGAACTCCAGGTTTGCCTCCAAGAAAAGAAAATAAACGGAATACGACGGACCTCGTAACCATTACCAACAAGCTATTTCCCTTCACAACAGCATTCTGGATCTTAATTTCAACTGATAGACACAGCCTATACTGAATACTAAAACCAGACTGAGTTTCAATCAAGATAATATCCACTAAATAGAATGCTGATCCTTGAGAGAGGGAAGGAAAGCCTCTGGATTTGTTGCACGAATTTGAACGAAAATGCACACACCAGATTTTATATACCCCGATGACAAAGCCACCAGTCGAAAGGAATTCTTAGCTTATGTGGCTCAAGGTTTCACTCCAATCTGAATAGATCAAGAAATTAAATACTGAAACACAGAGTATGAAAATGGAGGGACTCATTCACGTTTAACAGAGGAATGGTCTGCTCCCACAGAAAATTGGAAATCTTTCAAGAAAAAAAGTCTATGAAAGAAAAGGAAAAAGCCAGCAGAGAAATCCCAAATTATAAATGCATACATGTACAACAGGTGTATGTACAGTTTGGGCAAAACATTTACATACACTTGGTAGAAAAACAGTTTTCCTCAATTTTTCACTGTTTCAAAGTTTTGCCAGCTTTTTTTAATGAGGTCAGACAAATTGTATTTCAACTTAATGTTCCTAGTGTGTACTTCAATTGAAAATACTCAGAAACATTTTTTATGGTTCAAAATATTAATACTCTGAAAAATCGTTTTCTAAAAATTTATATCTACCCTCTTATTGTCGTTATACACTTCAGAAAGTGGTCCACTGTGACTATAAGATGACAAAAATACAGAAAAAAGCACTAAATATTTGGCTTGATGTATGTAAAATTTTGATTAATTTGTTTATATAAATATGAATCGTATACATGTGGCGTTTTTATTTGATGCATACACCATGTCCATTAAGTAGAGACCGATTTGTCTGTCCTCATGAAAAGAAAAGTTGGTAGGAATGAGTAAAGTTGTGAAATGTGAGGGAAACTGTTTTTGTTTTACCATTTGTATGTGAACTTTTTGCCCCAACTCTATACGGGCAGTGACATTGCTGCAAAACAAGGCGCATTATAATGTGAGCTCTGAAAGTTTGAAATAACATTTCCTGAACTAAAAACAAGAAACAAATTTCAATGTAGAGTGTATAATCAGTAAACAAAAAACCTAAATTTCAAGATTTGATTCAGAAGCAGGAAATACATAATTATGTAACACTGTAAAGCACAAAAAAAAAAAACAACAGTTAATAATAACAGCGATTTCCTTGGAGACAAAAAAACCACAGATGTTGAAGTTTCATTGACACTTTGAAAGTTAAGATTTTGTACTTCAGCCCTCAATACCAATTACATGAAGTCATAGTTTGGGTAAAGAGGAGGACATATTGCTGTAAACACAAAAGCTGGATTAAATAGGATAAAAAAATACATGACAGGCACTGAAAGACTAGATCTCATCAGAACAGAAAGCACCAAACAACAAGGTCAGCAGACCATTGGACTGATGACAGATTTAAGGCTGGTTTATTGTAGGTTCTAGCTAGTGAATTTTTAAAATTTAGCCAAAGTGTATGCTTAATGCACACTTTTGTAGCCACCCTCCTCTTTGTAAAATATTAAAGACAATTTCATTTCTTGCCAACTCATGTGGAATAATAGTCAAAGTTGTAAATATCCACCATTTGACGACGATGATGACTGATGGCTGGAACATTGATATTCAGTGGTAACACCAACACAAGAGGGATATTTACATGAATGTCATATAATACAGGTATTTAGGACAAAGTTAGCTGAAGTTGAAGTCGGCAAAATTGCAGCACAGGCCCTCTGCCAGGCTGCTGTACGAACTGGTCTTGAACCTTGAGGTACATGCATATTCTGTTAAACCAACCTTGATACTTGAGACTCTTCCAGTGTTCCTGGTGTGCATGCAGGGTCGCCAGGATGGCCTGCACTGCGTTCCGGCAAGGCGGGCCTGGCTGAATGGATGGGCAGGGATCGCCCAATAGTGTCCTGGTGCACATAGCCATGGACTCTGCTATAGAGTGGAGGTTGTATCCTCCCTGGTAATGAAGGAGGAAAGCAACAGTATGCAAGGTTAAAAACTGCTGGATGAAAGCTGGTCACCCTCCCAGGCTTGAATAGTGTCCCTACTTGTGTTTTAAGTCTGTTGTTTAAAACTCTGCATGGAAGAGTGGTATAAAGAGAAATATAATATGCGGGTGCACCATGGCAACAATCTTTTTTTTTTCAGCAGAAAGCATTGCAGCTGAGAAGAGCCGGTGGTAAGTCTTGCCATTTCAAACTGTATGGTCTGTTTGCTGTCTGGAAAAGAAACTTCTTAACATACTAAATTTATTGTGATCACTTTTAAAACTAATGTCCACAAGTTGGAAAAGATTATTACAAAATTAATAAAATATACTAAAAAAATACCTCTGCTTCAGTCTCGGAAGTCAGAGCATGATTGGACCAATGTTAAAAGCTACGAGCCAACATATGCAACCCCTCCTGCAGCACTGAAGATAATTTTACCGAAAATGCGTTCTGCCAAATTCATTTCCGTGCTGACTGTATCAACAATGGGTGGCTGATTTTAGCAGAGCTGAGATTGCTGAAGCTAGTGTCTCAGGCACAATATAGGCCCTCTCTTATTATCCCTGTGGCTTCATGCAAGTGAACTTTGGTGGGACATTTTCAAATGCAGTGGATTCTATGTACAAGAATCCAGTGCAAGCTGAGGAAATGTGGAAAACTTTTGTACGAGGAGGAATTGCACCAAAAAAGTTGTTTGAATTTGTTCCATGATATCGGTGATATCATGAACAAGTCCGATTTAAATTACATATACAAAAACAAAACTGCTGAAGAGACAAAGCCTTCATTTTCACGCACACAAAAAATACCTCAACGGCTATGGGTCTGCCCAACCCCTAAACACTGGATTGCTTGTGAAATGTTAAGTGTGCCATTTACAATCTAGGCATTATAAAGAAGGAATACTGTAAAAAGTTGAAATTGGAAAAAAGACATGAAAAGAGACCTAAATATTAATCTGTGGTTTTAATTCTTCAGCTTTTCCAGAACAGGTGATTGTAAAAGGAAAATGTAAATGTTTCCCCGACGAAGACAGTACACTGTAAAAAATAATGCATGCACTCGAGTTGCGCGGCAATCAAAGTCTTACAGCTGTTGGTAGATATTTGCCTGTTTTGTACGTGCTTTTTGTATGTTGGGTAAAATTTTAGAGTGACCAAAATTGAAAAGTATTAGTGTCATTAAAGTTGGATGTATTGCAGCCGATTAAATGGGCATAAATGAATTGTGCCTACTTTGTGGATAAAAATATGTTAAGTGTCACACAGTTGGGAAAATGTGCATTACACTTATTCTCAACATTGGTAAAACCAACTCAGGACTTGTGCAAATTAACCAACAAATCAGCACATGAAGCACGAGTCTGGAGTGAAGCATAGAGGACGGGGCTGTTGGAGCTGGAAAATGCCTTTTTAGGTGAGATTCCATGAAAAATTGTTTTCCCAGTTGTAAGAAATAAGTGTTACAGAGCAGTTTTAGTGTAAGTTTGTTTTATAAAAAAGTCGTAAATAAAGGTTAATTCAGGGGTCTGGTTGCCCCGTGCGGGGGCCATTGTGGCTATAGCATAACAGTAATGTGTTGTGACACACAGCATGGGTGTACACATATAGTGTCGGCCTTTATGCGTGTGTAAATCGTTTGTGACTGATGACTGACTGAATTCATGAACTCTACCACAGGGAAATTACCAAATGGGGTGATTCCCACTGTGATAATTAGTATCAATAATACTTTGAGAATGCCCAATCATGAATAAGTTATTAAGGTGAAATGGATATAGGACACCATGATGATAACAATCAGTTAAGGATTTTTGCGGTTACACCATGTACAATATTCTCTTTTATGAGTATGTGTGGTTCTGAGAAGAACCGGTTTTACTCAACTCAAGAGAATATTGTACATGGTGTAACCGCAAAAATCCTTAACTAATTGTCGATCCGCCATGCAAACTTTCAAGCGCTACCTGACAACAATCAGACGGTCAGTACAAGGAAACTGGTGAGAAATGAGTTTAATGGTCTTGTGTTTCATAGGAGTACTCATATGGCTTAACTAAACAAAATGAAGTCACCAGAACCACATGTACATATGTACATGTGAATTATTTACTTGTTCAAGGAAAGCTTGAACAATGGAAAAGTAGTAGAACTATTTTCCACAAGGCAGTGTCCACTTTCAGTTTCACCCAGATGTCACCTTGTACATCAAAATAACGAGATCAGATTTATCTTCTATTATATGTCCATCTGAATCATTCCATGCTGTCATTCATTTGAAATATATAGACATCACACACAGAAGGGAATAGAGGAAAGTGATTATTGCGTGTATGGACCAAAGGTGTACAGTTTTTCACAAATTGAAATGATGCAAAAAGTGGCCAACATCTTGGTATCAGGTGAAGAGTTGAATAACGGACTAAATGGACACTTAATGTACATGTACAGGTTCTTCACATTTATGTTATAACCATGGGCACATTTTAGGAATGCTTGAGAGTATTTTGAGAAATAATACTGATACATGTAACAGTGAGGCGTGCACTGGTTTTCTGATAAAATTGATGGAGAATGTGAGGAGATGAAAGACATGTCCACAGTGTTTCAATACTCAGTGTCTCGCTACAGTTTTCTCAAGCAACTTGCAATGTTTAGATCAGGTACCAGATGACAACTTCATTTTATTTCAGTTCCATTCACAAAATCCTTTTATGACCATAATTCGACAATAATTTTGAGAACGGAAGTTGTCCAGGAATCACTACATTACTATTAAACAGCCAAGGGTGACTGGACCTTAATATGATAATGACAGTGGTGTTAAAGTGATATGAATATGGTAAAAGATGACAAGGGTGACACCCAATATGATGACACCTGAGGACAATGATGCAGATAATCAAATTGATGATCGTGACAACACAAAATGAGAGATGCTCATGGCACCAGTGAAGAAAGATGCCAATTGTTTCTTACCTCTAGAGCAACAACCATTCTCCCATTAGCAAGGCTGCTCAGCATGTGGGTCATATGGGCGTAGCCTGCAGGAGTTACCTTGTACCCTCCCTATCAATAACAGATAACATCAGCTTTACTACACATGCCACACAGATGTGGCTGAAAGTCGGACAGACCTTGAGTTAGAAAATCGAAGGATACACTTGAATTCATGTGACCAACATTTTCCATTAAATTTCAAGGATACTGATACAGCCTAATGAATGTTGAATAAGTAAGGTATGTGTATAGTCTTTCTCAGGGGCAGAATGCAATATGCGAAATGTAGACCTGTTCATACTTTCCTTAACCACAGTGTCAATTTTGAAATTTTTCTTTTCTTCTTGGAGTTGGGGGTTTGAACCCAGAGAAGAGGCATGTGTTGTGACCTTGGAAGATAGGCCTGTGCGTTGATGACAGTCACTCTTACATGTGCACTTTCCTAATGAGCCCGAGAAAGCCCTTGATCCATCAGTCCAGAGGTCTATTCTCCCATTTGTGTCTCCACCCAGGGGTGTACGTGTACACCTCTTAAAGGCTTGTTGTGAATGAATAGCAAGGGAGTACCTGAGATAGAACTAATGTGGTTTAAAGATTTTTATGTACCCCACACAATGCACAGTACTGGTGAATACCATTGTTGTGTATGCCATTTGGATTTGTCACGATATGAAAATTGACTTCTCTTTTATTTGTGACAAGTTCATGTGTAAGGGAACCTACAGCAAATACAAGGCAGGAAAACAAAACAGTTTAAAATCTTGGCCTGTGTGTCCTACTTTTGGTTCTTTATTCATTAATTACAGAATGACATATGTGCTAGTGGTTCATCTTTAGTATTATGTTTATTAATAAAAAAAAATTATTACATTAAACAAGACAAAACAGAAGTGATGGAGAGAAGAAAAATCATTCAACATTCAAGCAAAACAGATGGAAAACAACTTGTGAAAGTTCACATGTATCTCCCTAAACACAATACATTTGCCAAAATCCAACATGCGTTTTGGCTGTGCTCCATCCATTTAATTCAAGCAACCATTCCTTTCCCAAGGTCCTAATGCATCCATACTGAGAACAAATATTGCATCACTGGTCTGCTGCACATAAATGCTTCTCGGCAGGTTTTAAGAGACTTCAAGAGGAACATGCCGAGGGAGTTAAGGGCCACTACACTGAAAGTATCCCCACTTAATATTGAAGCAACGAGAGGAGTAAAGCATGATATTTAGCCCATAAAGGCCACTTTGAGATACCATTTTTTGAGCAGTTGAGTGTGAAACCCACTTAGAGAAGTTACCCTGGCTGAATTAGAATGCAAAGCCATGCTTGGGACGTGAGGATGCATGCACTGTGGGCTCCAAAAGCAAACCACATGCACCAGGAGCAGCACAAATGTTCAAGAACATTAAACGCATCTGTCACAACAGAATCAGACACAGAAAAAGCCTTCCTTTGAGGGTTGGAGGGTAAAGAGCAAAACGTTAATATTGAGGTCGCTGAATGTTAGAAGTGACATCTTACCAACGGATCCCCATATGCTGCATCAAAACCAGCTGACACCAGCACCAATTCAGGGCAAAACTGTTGGGAAAAAGTCACAAAATTACACTTTGAATGATTGACTGACTGACATAAGGTTTATTTGTTTAAAAAACACCAAACAGCAAGTCAGAAGACTACAAATATTTGATTTACACAAAAATTTAAAAAGAAAGTATTAAAAACATTAAAGTAACCGTTTTCGAAATAAAAATATCATAATTACATTTCTATCTTAAAAGCTAAAATTTTCACTCAACCACAAACAAATATCAACAGCAAAACATCAATAAAAGACAATCACAAATTATTAACACAACCACTCAACAACTTTACCATAGAAGGGACTGATGATTGCTTATATCTTTGTGTTCAGCACCGGGGAATTTGTAATAACTGTGTCTAAGGTTTCGTCCAGATTTAACTTGTTGCTGGTAAGGCAGTGAAAATGTCTATCACAGTTGATGAAAGCAGTCCTGAGATACAAAGTCAACTGATTACGCCTAGAAGCAAGTTTTTGTATGGAGAACTTACTTAAAAGCTCGGAATATGCTAGGGTACTTGGATAATCTATTATCTGAAGCGCTTGTCTCTGAACCCTTTCAATGTTGGTGGATTAAACCATGGTTATAGATGAGGACCAAACGTTGCTCCAAACTCAAGAAATGGTCGAATGTACATCTTATAAAACTACAACACGTCATCAACACCGACACCATTCTTTCTTAATCGACTTAAGATATACAAACGTCTACTCGCATTTGTAATAATTTGCTTAACCTGTTTGATAATTTGATAATTTTGCATGAGGCTAAAGCTCAGAACCAGGTCCCTCTATGGAAGCGTCCTTTCTGTTACATCACAAGGGCTGATCCTGGGCCAAATTTTCTGGGGAACCAAAAAACTCCTTTCCAGGGAGGGGGCAAAAAAATTGGGAATCTTTTGTTGTAACACTTTACGGCCTCCCTGTTGGGTGAGGTTACATTTTTGGCTTTCTACACACTTCAGGTGGGAAATAAAAAGTCCTCCCTCAAAATAATGGGGGTGGGGATTCCTGAGGGGTTGGCCATTGTTATTCCCCAATGCCTGCCTTCATCACAAAAAATCAGAATTTACAGCTGACAGAAACATATTTGCTTCTGAGGCCAATTCAGACATCAGGAGGATGAAAATGTGTTCTGAGAAGACGAACGCTCTAACAAATTTGCAAAGGTTGAAATAGCTCAATAGTTAGGACTGTTGTATAACAGACACCTACTAAATTTGCATTTGCTATGAATCAATTTTTACAAGTAAGAAAAACATGGCATTGAGGTTTATATGCTAAGCCTTGTTAACGTTTAAAACATAAATTGGCATTTTAATTATGCCAACCCAAGATCAAAACAGCAGTTATGCAGTTTGTCTCTAAAATGCTACTGTATATCCCCCTCAGGAAGTAAGACTTTTGAAATGAGAAAGATCATTTCTGCATTGAGAAAAATAAGCCTCATCAGCCAAAAGTCTGAACTTCACAACAAATGCTAATCTGACAACACTTAAAAGACATTTGGTTTTCTTAACCCCACCAAAATTTAAATAGCAAAAATTCTCCTCATTGTGGGTGAAACCCTTTAAAGATCGATTTGTTTTCTATGATTTCCTCTTGGTTTTTAAAGTTTGACACCTATGAAGCCAAAAGATTCATACAGCAATCTTTATATGGGTCACTATCGGACTTTGCCTTTAAAAAAAAAGTAGGGTGTGATGACCTGTACAAAAAAAGCCCTGAAAATGTAAATGTGCGATACGATTTGGACCAAACACAGCGACAGTTGAAATCCATGTCACATCAACAATACCAGGCAGAGAGGTATCATACAGCACCCATTGCACCACATACAATTACAAGTAAGTAGGGAGCACCACAAGAAAAACAAAAACATACAAGTGGATCATTCCATGAGGTTGGGGCACAATTTGTGACGGTGTCAATTGTTACATGGGTCCCGTAAAAATCAACAGCTATTTCCCTGCAAGTGGATTCCAAATTGCCATTGTTATATAGCTTGAAAGGCTGAATACAGAGGGGTGTGTTATTTTTACAGATTAATGACCTACCGTACAGGTCATGATAGGTGGTAAAAGTTACCCATGTAACAAGGACATCGTCACAAATTTTGCCTAACTTCATGGAATGACCCATTTACTGACACACTGCACACATGTACAGTGTCTTAATAATGACTCAAACGAGTTGTGTTTGGAGGTTAAAAAAAGCATGGTACCGCAGCCGCATTCATAGCCTTTTTTCAAGGCCTTCGTGCCTGTGTGCGTGTAACTGCAAAGCGACTGGACAGGAAACCAGGCGAGTGGCGCAGCCACGAGGCCGTTTCCAACTTGATTTTGAAGTTTTTGTGGTGAATTATCCATAGGCTTTCTGAAATGCATTATTCATAAATTTCATGTAAATAGTAGAAGTAGATGAGTCTCTGAAGTAAACAGCATCAATTCCAAAGCTTACGCCATTTTTCCATCTGGTTTTTCATGACGGCAACAAGCAGTGAGATGACAACTACGATGCTTGTTGGTGGGGGATGGTGCTGACATTGGAGTAACACGAGCAAGTACATGTAGCAGTTCATCAAGGCCGAATGGTCAAAGCAAAACGGCAGTGCTTGAAATATGGAGCTCTTACCATATCCCGTGGGTAGACACGAAAACATCACGCCCGCGTACAGATGCTTCAAAAGCCTAACACTGCAACGGTTTAAACTCGGCAAGGCGAAGATTTCCGACAGCATATTTTACAGAGCTGTTCAGGACCTGCACTCACGGCCGCCAACAATCTGCATAAATAGACTAATGTGTGCTGACCCCCTCCCTTATGACTGGTTGGGATTTTTGCTACCTCAACGTCAAATCCAAAACATAAAGAAAACATAAGAAACTCCTGACAAGTTGGAAAAGGCCTCGTGGCTGCGCAACTCGTGCACGAGGTCTCCGGTCAAGCCGCTTTGCAGTTACACATAAACACAGCCGGGAAGGCCTTGACTAAAGGCTACAGCATTCATTCAAAATTGACTTGATTAGTCAAGGTAGTATTTTTCTTGCAAAAACAAGTGACAAGAACACATAGCACACTTTGCCTGGTTTATTCAGTCATCTATATGGATATTGCATGGAATTTGGTTTTTTTGACCGACTGACTTTCCCTCAATTGAAAAAAGATAGGAGAGCCACAGAATGTAAAAAAGGTGCCCTTATCAAAAAAAAATAACACTCATATGAAGCTGCAATTTAAAGAAAAAGAAAGAAAATCTAATAACATAACACTCATTTCTCTGGGTGCTTGCAGCAAACAAAAGACAGTTTCTAAAAGTCCACTGTAAACATTCCTGTTATCAGAACAAAATATAATAATAGGGGCAAGCACATTCATTCAAGGACAAGAAAGGAATTACCGAACAATTTCACACCAAACAAAAAAGGTTTTGGTGGTCAAAAGATCAGTGACGTTTGAAAACACTCAAATTAACAGATGCCAGTCTGGAACATTGCACCGGGTGAATTCATACAAAAACCAACAAATTAAAGATGTTACCATATCAGACACATGTACCGGTAATTCTCCAGAACTTTGTACTATTTTTAGAAAAATGCCTCTAATGCATAATTTACGCATGGATCTGTATTATGACTATACCTACCTCATATGCAATGGGCATAACAATTTGCGTGAAAGCAGCAAGATATTCTGCATCTCCCATAGAGTCCTGTGAGAGAGAACAATGACAATTACATACACTTGTTTTCTAGCGCTGGCCAAAAGGTGTCATTACTTTGTCTCTGAGGCTCTCAAGGCTTTCTCTCCCCTGCAGTTTCAGAGCTGCATCCTCCTGCATGCGACCAGATCCACAACATGAGTCTTCTGGCCATTTTTTTTGCTTAAGTAATTTCATTCAGTTTGCATTAGCAAGAGCAAGCTGAGCTCTTTGTATTGATGCATTACTCAGTTTGGTATACTGCATGAAATGGACATTATGGGAGTGAATATGTGGAGTGTTCCTATAATTTGGGTAATATGCAAAATTATTTTCAGGGCATTTCACTCCACAGCACAAGCAAATGTGGCTCTGGTGACTTCCAACTCATTGTGTGGACATGAAATATAAATGTAACTCGCATGATCCCCGTCTTTGAACAGATGCGGGAACAAATGGAGGGGGGATTGCAGGGGTTACCATGACAACCAAAAGGTTCAGCTCAGCTTCAGTGTTTGAAATAAATGTATGGGTTCAAATTCACACCGAGTTGCTCAATTTATTCTCAAATTTACATTAAATGTACTGTAGGAGACAGCATCATCATACATAGAGCATTACATTTTCCTGACGAGCAAGAGGGGCTCCTGGATCCCCTGTGGGACACTTCAGTGACATCCCCACCATTTTACAATATTATGAAAACTAGATCCATCTCTGAGTGGCAATTACTTGAGCAAACACTGCAGTCTGGACAATAGGCACCAATGTTATTTTCATGGTATAAGCTGTTTAACACAATGGCACTCAATTCCAATGGGGAGAGCATCACATCAGAGGCTTATGTTGGATGTCCTGGGGGGGATTACCACCCACCCATCCACTATCCCCTTTCCATTTTGAATAAAACAGAAACTGCAATTACACTAGCAAATTTGGTGAAGTTTTCCTCACCAGCTCTTTGAAAGCACTGAGCATGTCTCGCCAACAAGACTATGTCAGTGATTAAAACACAATAATACATGTACCTCAATACAAATAATCAGGAAACCTGGAGGTTGAACCAAACTGGGTATATGTCTACCTGCTCCCTGGTTATATTTTTGTGTTAGGTTAGTTCACTGAACATATACATGTATATCAGCGACACTATGCACTAAATGTGCACGTACATGTGTCATGTCAAACAAAGCAATGCCAGAAATGAGCTTACAAGGATGCGAAGTAAAAAACACTGGTTTGTAGACATTGCACATTCATGGACACAGCATTTAATCATACATTTCAAAGTCAACACCTTATAAACTCAGTATTCCTGAAAGCATAAATTACACATTTTTCTGAAACCATGATTTTCATTCTGTCAACGTACCACGTTCCAAGCAATATTGACATTGTATCCTTTCGCCTCGCCCAGGCCTGTCACATCTGGGGCTCCATCAGGACTACAAGGGAAGAAAAGTCCATTCTCGTAGCGGTGCAGGGATATGTATAGAACGCCGGGGTCCGACTCAAAGACATGCTGAGTACCATTGCCATGGTGAACATCCCAGTCAAGAATAAGAACCCTGAGAGTTGGGGGGGGGAATCAACAACAACAGACATTTTAACCAGGACTTTTTTTCACGCACCAAATTTCACAGGTGTATTAAGGTGGGTTCACACATTCTCAGATTATTGCCATGAATACCCTGATTGGGAGAAATTCCCCCCATTTTGCTGTTGTTAAAAAAACTCACATCAAATCGAAAGCCAAAGAAGACCAATTCTAGCCAAATAGAAAAACCAAATGATTGCAATTTTGTCACTAATAATATACCCAGAATCATCCAGAATGACCCAGAACTATACTGATTTCAGTTATCACAGCGTATTCATGAATACTGGTGCTAGGTATTGTAGAAGAATACTACTGGAGAGCGAAAAATATTTTGCTTTCTACCACATCACAAACGAAATACTGGTGCCAGGATTATTGGAGAATACCACTCAAAAGACAAATATACTTCTCTTTCTACTCCATTACAAACAGAAGACTGGCACTAGGCAAACTGGAAAAATATGCTGAATATATATGGGTAAACCTGAGTGTTCACAATGATTTACTCTTTGCAAGATTTACGAGCAAGGGCATTACAACCTTAATCAATTTTACGCAGTATTAAATGTTTGCCAACCCTGAAGTCCACGCATCAATGAAGTCATCTGAGCATCACTTATATGAATTACCACAAACCCATCACAGGACTGACAAGAAATCTGATTGTGTTCCGTCTGTTTGTTCCATCTGCCTGAGGCAGGGCAGTGATGTAGTTTAACTCACAGGTGGAAACTAGCTTGTTGCAAGACATGCAAGAAAGTTGCACTTCCTTCCCTGATATAAATATATCTTGACTGACTTTCGGTTGAGTAAAATGATTGCGGTTGCACCATGTATCAATCTCTTTCTTGAATATGTGTGGTTCTGAGAAGAACCGGGGAATAACTTGATGTTTCGAACAGTTTACGCTGTCCATCTTTGTTGAGTATGTGTGGTTCTGAGAAGGACCGGGGAATAATTCAACGTTCGAACAGTGTACTCTGTTTGTCTTCAGGAAACTGCAGGACGGACAGAGTACACTGTTCGAAACGTCAAGTTATTCCCTGGTTCTTCTCAGAACCACGCATACTCAAGAAAGAGATTGATACATGGTGCAATCGCAATCATTTTACTCATCTAGTTTCTTTCACTATGAAAACCTTCAAGTCTTATCTGACTTATTGCTGTAGATAACAGCTAGTTGCATCTGACTGCACAAGCTTTACACTTTAAGTCAAGCCATGGCCATTATAATCAGACATGGTGCTGGACATAAAATGAAAATCAAATCTGTGTAGGTGGCACTGGTATTTTTCACAGACGAGTTTTCAAGACTTCTGCCAATTACATGCATGTGTACATGTACGTGTACTTGTCAGCTGGGCTACAGTACAGTAATCACACGATATCAACTCGAATAAAATAACACATGTCCAGCCTACTCTTTTGTATAGACCACTATTATAACTTCTATGGGCAGCCAAAGTTTTCAAAAAAGTCATCCTTTGGTAAGTTTTCAATTTTACCTCAAATTCCTTCAAAAGGTATTTTTCCCATTAACTTTAAAGAGGGTTGTATTTTCATTTATTTCTTAGTAGTATATGTATTATTTCCTGGTGTTCTGACGGCTGTGTGGGATTTTGAACATTTTGTAAATTACTCTTTTACTTTTTTTTACTGTTGGACAGCCATAGTTTTCGCAGCCACTCATCATAGGAAAAACACAACCATGATGTAAAAACATCAGACCCTATAAGTACTTTGGTGCACCAATGACCAACAACCTTTAGAATACATGCAAATGAGAAAAATCACACCATAAGTGGACTGTTAGACTATGTCAGACATACATGTTGCAAGATTCACAAGTGTGCATAAAGAAAAGTTAACTAAAAACACCGTGGTGTTGAACGCATTCGTACAAAGTAAGTTTTTCGGACATCCTTTTTAAAATCCAAACCTCTGTCGTGTGTTTGGACTTGTGGGTAGAAATTAATTAATTTTTTGTAATTATATTTAGTGGTGTCAAACTACATGTACCTTTCTGAAATTGAGTACCAGGGCCAAAGGCTATTCAAGTTTAGGAGTTGCCAATATGATTCGTCTATTGTGTACCGCTACCAAGTACAGTGGAACGCCGCTATAATGAACACAACGGGGTCCACGCTAAATGTTTGGTACAGCGGACATTTGGTATAGCGAGATTAATTGCCAACGTTTCATTGCCCCTCTGAAAAGCGTTCTCTCGTCTGAGATGAGCCCTCTTGTGATACTATGCTTCATTGTTTTCCTGATATTTTGCCATTGCACTCACGTTTAAGGTTTCTAAAAACATATATCTGTTATTTTTGGTTTTTTTACTAAATATTAAGTTACAAAATTGGTTTCAAATTCATCCTAAAAGTCATATTTAATCTTTGTTCAGCCTTTTATGTTTTAAAATGAACTGTACTTGTAAAAACAATAAAATGCATACATGGATAATAAATGACAACATGATGAAGGGAAGGGAGAAGGAGATGCTTGTGTTTTATTTATGTTTTATCCTTGTTTGAGGGAGGGGATTGGGGCTCAGCGCAGTTGCACAGGATCTACCTCTTTTTTGAACATGTGTTGGTTCTGAAAAAAACCGTTTGGTTTGAAGTTGATGGAGGCTGCTCACATCTTGATAAAGTCTGTCAGCTTCTTCTGCTTCATCGCCTCATCTCGCCTCCGTCTGATGACATCCTTGACGTGCTGCGCGTCGATGATTGTTATGGAATCAATGTTTTCCTGAGATTCCAGGAAGTGCAGAACAAGACCCAACTTGCCAGGGCCTCAGTAGCAAGTGAAGGAGGCTCTGGTTCGTCATCGCTGTCATCCTCAGTGATCAGATCTGCCGCTGGAATGGGCCCTCCTGTCACAGCCAGCACGATCTCGTCGTCACTCCATTCCATCTCAGCATCCATTAGCAAATTGTCATCAGGCTTCTCATGCAACAATAACTGCCGGTTCACCCATCCCTTCCAAGTTTTATTGGTTTCCAAGCTGCCGAACCAGCTGTGTGAGGGGTCCATCATCATCATCATCATTTTCTGCGCTATCATTGCCTTGAACTGGAGTGCAGAGTGTATTCTTCCAGACGTCTTGAATGAATTTTGGCTTGACTGCTTTCCATGCTTCCGCGATCATGTAGCATACGTCCTTGAGACTGATGGACTACAAACTGAAGTCAAGTTAGTGTCCACATTGTTGTTTCCACCATCAATTCTCTTGAGTTCTTGCTTATGGGCAAGGGTCACAATCTTTATGTTTCCCATGGCGAGCTTGGGAGGCTTCGGAATATGCAGCAGAAAAGCGATAAAAGTGTAGAGACCATGGACAGATTAGCTTGAGATGTCCGTTGTGTACCAGAGGCACAGTCTCTCATTGTTTATTGGACCCCCCCTTTTTTTTTTTAACACACCTGTCCCTTTGTGGTCGCTAAATGTTGCACCCCGGGTAACACAAAGTGTTACACCAAAGGTGTACATTAAAAGAGTTTCACTCTGTAAGAAAAGGAACAGCACATGGACGCTAGTGAGTTGAGGTGTTGCAGTCGATGTTCACTCTTCAAAATGTAGAGTCAGAATGACTCAGCTGAGGACAAAGACTCCAACTCCTCATGCACTAGGCCCATGTGGCTTCCAGGAAAGATTATGCAACAGGTAGTTTCCCAACTGCTGTTCCATGTCACATCCCACATCAGTGCACTCACTGTACACTAAACAGAAGTAGGCTTACTTAAAAAAAGGGGGGGTCCAATAAACAATGAGAGACTGTGCCTCTGGTACACAACGGACATCTCAAGCTAATCTGTCCATGGTCTCTACAAAAGCATAGATGTGTACTCAAGCACTGTAACCAACCAAACTGGAAGATTGTAAAGCTATTTTGGCCATTTGAACCTTTTTGGAAAGAGGCCGCTGTCATCAAACTCAAAAATCAAAGCCACAAGTCAGAACTAATCTCTGCTGCAGTGGCAAATCTCAGTGGCTTGTTTATCAGCGGCGCCCTCTTTAGACTATTGTTAGTGCAATGCCTGGGTGCACGTGGAGTTTTCTTCTGCACTCGAATGCAGAGTCACTAAACCAGTGTCCATTCAATTCCATTGGCAGATTAACCCTGTGTGCCCTGGCCGTTACTAGAAGACAACTTTGAACAAGTGCCGACCAATGACACATGTTATTACATCTACCCAGTTTCTCAGCTAGTTAAATACAATTAACTCTTCAACAGCTAGTGGCTTTCCCTTCTAATTCTTGGGAAATAATGGCCACTTGTCACTCTCCAACATAAATAACACCAACTGTTTTGTCAAGTTGACATCCGGAAATTACAAACAGCAACTGCATAACGTTCGGTAGGTTTTGTGCACAAATTATAGGGAGCCAAGGATGATGTTCAGTGTAGCTATGTTTGGTATAGCGACGTTCCTCTGTACTCTAAAACAGGTGTGCATGTCCTTAGGTCAACTGCAATACTGCGATGCCAAAAATGCATAAAGAGAAAGTTAAGAAATGCTTAATTGCGTGTCTGTTTCAAGGTCAACTTTGTATCAGTCTTGAGCCATCCCATAACACCATAATTTTCACACACTAGGTCAAGGTTAATACATCGATGCAGAAAGTGGCCGATGATGTACCGTTTTAAATTATTAAGTAATGTCATTAACAACCACCTAGACGAGATGGGCAAAGGAAAAGTTAACAGGATTGCCTACAGTACCATACTCTCACTACTTGGCGGAAATGTACAGTAAGAACAATGCACAAACCCCCTTTGGTGGGCCCCAAATCGAGGGAAGCACATTTTATGCAATGTGAGAAAAGTTTGATATCATACGGCTCTTTACACTGCAATCATGCATGACTCTAAAAGTACATCATCATGTCCTTGTATGACACTTCACTACTGAATCCCCTACCAGGCCCCCTCACCTTAATACTGGACATGTGTCATTTTCAAATTGGTAACCAGTCAAGTATCATACATGTCAACCCTGAAGCCATACACAGACCTCGGGATAAGCGTTGGGTAGCACCATATCCTGAACTGCTGCTAATGGTAACGAATTTTGTTAATCTTACCTCTTCAGCCCATACTTGTGTCGGGCGTAGTGCGCTGCTAGCGCCACGGTGTTAAAGAAGCAGAACCCCATGGCCGTGTGGACTTCTGCATGGTGGCCCGGAGGTCTGTGGGTAAAAACCCAAGAGCAAAAGATCTCTCATCCAGAACTAAAGTTTTTCAGTTTACATGTATCCATTACAAGGCAAGATATCAATTTCACCTGTGAAAATGAAAATGGCGACAGACTGTAAATTGGAATTTTTCTCAAAAACAAGAAGGGCTACCAACTATCGACTGGCGCATTTTGATTGAAGTAAACCGCGTGGCCTACCTTGCAGGCACAAAAGTGACTCACTGAAAACTAACTCACCTGACTATGGCTACACCATTGCAAGCCTACAAAGAAAGATCAGAGAAACTGTCTTGAATCTTTAGAAATACGGAGAACTACTAAAGGGGCTCCATGCTGAAAGATGCTACATTCATGAATGTTATCATTCCTTACATGTATGTCCTAACGGTTGGCAATACTCCATGGAACTTACTGATAACAAGACACTCCTTAAATTTATTTTCTTCGTAACTCCAGTGACTAAAATTACAAGTCATAAGGCCAGACATAAAGCCTGTGTGTTTATTACCTCATTGGACAGCACTGCATCTACCACGTTCAGTGTAGAGCCCGCAGCAAGCGAGGCACTGTCAAAGGAACTCTGATGAGGGAAAAATGAATGCCCTTAGTGCCAAAGGTGCTGGCTGTACAGCATCATTTTGAGCAAAACAGAAAAGCCTTCTGACCTAGTGCTTTTTTTCTTCCAAGTTATGGCTTCCACTCAGAGACGACCCTCAAATCTAAACATGCATACTTTTTATTTGCCCCTTGAAATTAGTTTTTACAGAATTTTTAAATGATTTCCATTCTTTGAAATTAAAATTTCCACTTTCTGTATTACAAGTAATAAATATATAACTCTTTTTCTCTGATGCATGCAAGTCACACTTTCTGAAAGAAAAAAAAATCACTAGTAAACTTCAACTTTGTGGTACAGCACTTTCTTGCCAGGTACAGAAATAAAAGCTGGGATGCTTAATTTACCTTAGAAAATTCAGACATGACCACAACAGGACACATATGGTAAGTGATTATTAAAAGCCCAATTATGGCAGCCTGTCAAGTCATAAAATTCTGAGTTTAGATTTTAGAGTTCTTAGTATTAGTTTAGCCAAATTCATTGCTTATCCGTGGGTAAATTCTTATTCTTTTATTAGGGTGAAAGTAGCTATGTGTTCCTACTCTAGCTACCGGTAGAAGCCGAATGTGATATTTTCTCTGATCTTTGCTTAGACCCACCCACTCTTGCTGTGTACAATTCAGAACTGTCGTACCTGATGGAGATAGATGGAATTGAAGTCATCTTGCATCTTGCAGAGCTCTCGTGGGGTGTTCTCCTTCATAGCCTGCAGTCTTTCTATGTACTCAGCACTTCAAAGAGAAAATAACAGGTGAAAAGGGTGGGGAGGAGGGTGTGCCACTGAAAAGCATGTGCAGTGTTAAGGGTTGTCTGTCAAAACTGATAGTGTGAGTTCCCTGGAAGTTTCTAGAATGTCCTATTTTTGCGTCGAGCCAAAGTTTTCAACATTATCTTTGGTCCTAATTTCCACAGTACTCAAGAAATCTGTAGTTTAGTTTAAAGATTTATCATGTAAACCTAATTACGATTTTTTGACAAGTGTGACATGGCATTCAGTGGAATGTGATAACCGGAACTAACTCAATGGTTTTAACTCATATTTGCGGACATTTTTTTAATATCGGCCTACCTGTGGCACCAATGCAGCTCTTCCGTTGTTGCTCGCCTTGACTGAAAAAATCATGCCAAAAAAAATGCAAAATGAAAGGAAGATGCAAAATGAAAAGAAAGTGTCAGACCACAAGGTCAGGACTTTCTGCTGTTATTTTTGACTTTGGATGTTTTATCAAAGTTGAAGGAGGTTGCATAGTGCAAAGTTTTAATATGGCCTACATTTCCCTCAAAACAATTACACTAGATGTATTTTTTAAACAATTTGCATTTTTCTGTGTATTTTCTATCTGGGTTTTTGCTGTGGACTACGTGCAGTTCATTCATGAAGCACATGTATAATATTAGGAAATGTGCATTTATCAAAGTTTGTGAACCTATGGCAATGAATCATGCATGACATCACTCTTCATCAAAGTCAGAACAAGTCCATTATCAATGTCCTCAGATGGCAAAACTTACAACTGAGGACAACACTGGGCATCCCCAAATCGGGCTGGAGTTCCATATTTCTTGTCTTTTTCCATCCACGCTGTACTGCTTTCCAAAGATTTTCACCCTGATCACAACAGTGTGGATTGTGGTCTTCCAATCTTAACTCAGCACTGAGATAGATTTGTTAAGAGAGTTCAGCACTGATAAAAATACCTTCCCATGTTCCAATAATTAACGACTTTCCAAAGGGTACTATGTGATGTAATGGCGTCAGTTTACAGACATCAACCAGTTGACAACCTGTGTGTTTTTTCCAGCTCAGATTTCTTCACAGTTTTAATCTGTGGGCTCTGATGAATTGTTTAGGACTGTGGTAAGGGAGCTATCCAGAAGGGGTCTGGAGGTTTTGCGCGGTAAACCTCGCAAGGCTGCTGGGTTTTTTGAGGTTTCTCTCATCGTACTATAATGAGCTCATTATCCACAGGTCAGCGCACATCAGGCAGCCTCCGTACAGGAACACTTTTGATTAACCGCCACGCAGACGACCCCTACTCACGGACAAAAGAGTAATTTAAGCCTCAACATAATCTCCTAGTAATCCTACATGTAATTAGATATCTGCCTTCCCAAAACGAGTAAACTCCTATAATCCTTTAATCTTATAATCCCTAATAGCAGCCACCATCCATCATTGACTCCTGTAGCTCTGTTGTTCCCTGCGCCGAAAGCTTCATCCTGCAACCATTCATGCATGTGAAGTTGACCTGCAGCTCAAGGATTATGCATGTATATTCAAGAGCCATTACGCAGCCGAACCTCAAAAAACTTTGAGGTTTACCACGCAAAACCCCCGCACCCCCTTCTGGTTCGCTCCCTAACTCAGAAATTTTCTCTGTTACCTCCAATCGCAGACACCTCCGGACAAGTCCCATCTTCTCATGCTTGGAGAAGATGCGGGCAATCCTCTCGGGTCTCTCCGGATGGTTACTTGAATGCAAAAGCATAATTTAATTGCATTATCATAGCTTCCCTTGAAAAATGAAACATGTCTAAAGTACTAATAAACATGTATGTATATATTGCCATTCATTCGTGTTAAGGGTTGCAGCTTAGTAAAATTGCACTTACAAAACTGTTCTATGTTGCATCATCTCTGGGTCATAAACCAGACAAGTCCTTGAAACGAACAATAGAAAAAAAACAAGGGTTGAGAAATTTGACGCTTTTCAAGGAATTCTAATTTTACATATATTTATAATTCTATCCATGTGTGTCAATGGAAGAAAACTGACAGATTTTAGCTGACTGAATACATGCAAACCTGTGTTTGGCAACAGTCAGGACAACTTCTGATATCAGCCTGTCAATCAAACTGTCAATCTCTTCTGGCTCCACCGCCTTTTCAGCTGCCTTCTCTGCTGATTGGATGGTCAAATCAGCAAGCTCCGCTCCAAGTTCAGCAACTCTTTCATCTGATTGGCCAGCTACTACTGCTTGAGCAGGCTTATCTGAACTGGTGCTGGATACAACTTCACTCTGGACATTTTCAGGAGCAACTGAAAGGAGACAATTCCCCTTTCTCAGACGATGAGTAATTTGTTTTCACCCTCGTCCAGTTTCATATTATTTCTTCACTGTTTACTGTGAACCCATAAAATGAGTCTTAAGGATACAAACAGCAAACAGAGCTCATCATTATGAAAATAAGCTATGGCGGGAATCTTTTCTAGAGCTAGGTCTAAGCTGTCACTGGTTACAGTCGCATAGGCACATGATGACAAAAGACACATTGTAGTCATAGCTCTGAATGCCTGTTTTGACACAGAGTGAACTACTTTGTCATGTGTCTGTTTACTAAAAACCACTGCGAATATAAATGAAATTAAAACCCAGACCAAAACTTTTGAAATTACATCACAGATTGATGATCTTCACCATTTGTTTTGTCTTCCTCCAATAGTATTTTATTATGTGGACAAATCAAAAGTATCGTCTTGCATACTGTGAGGCTTGCACAGTTGGCCCAAACTTTCTGGTGCCACAGAATGCCTGAAAAGGTATGCAAGTGAAAGTGGCAAAAGAATGGAAAGTTCATAAGAGGCCAAAGAAAAAAAACCACTAGTACGCACATATCTTTTACATCAGTAATGTTGGTCTTCCATGCAAGCCTAGAGTAAAAAAGGTGAAAAATGGTGAGTTCATGTTATTACCTTGGTAGTGAAAACACTGCCAATAAGGTTTGATGTTCTTAATCACCGCCAGTATGGTTTCAACAGCACTAAAATTCAAAAGAGCAAATGAAAAAGGTAAACGCTAAGAGACCCAAGGTCCTGTATAAAAGAACAAGAACTGGGTTGCACTTTTGAAATCGACAACTATTTGCTCAAGCTTTAAACTAAATTGGTGACTGGAGTTAGAAGCTATTACTGCGGTTGCATCTCACTTATGGCCTGCAGCCGATTTCATGAAACGTGGAGTAATTATGCGCCACAAATTTGTGCCGTAACTGCGCAATATACATGTACTTACTTTCAATGTCATGAAAAGTTGCTTAGCCATGCAATCTTTTAATTATATTAAAATTTATTTCACGAGGATGGTCAGTCACAAAATAGTCGTCTTCCTCTGCCTACTATTCTGAGAAGTTTTCATCTTTTCTTCATAGGAACTGGACAGAAAATCTCAAAGCCATGAAAATTTTTGATTATCTTTTTAAACAAAGCTGTAACTTTCCATATAAGCCTAATTAAGTTCAGCAATGATGAGCCCTAACAGAGCAGGAATTAGTCAAATAATCCATTTTTCGCCTTGTTGGCACAACATGTGTCACCTAATATGATTGCATGAGTTACGTCATAACTTGTTGCGTAAGTAGTGGTCTTATGCAGCGCATACATTTTTTGAAATATCTCTTAATTTGTTGCACAATGTGTGCAATAAAACATGGCAAAAGTGATGTTACGCCTTAGTGTAAAGTTTCGTGAAATCAGCTACATGTGGTGAATGCACGTCACATACAGTGTACCTCCTTGTCCAACACAGTGCAGTGACTTTGTAAAATGTGCGAGTGCATAAAGTTGAACAATGAGTATAGCACGATACACAAAGCTGTAATGGCGTCTCAGAGAATAAATCAGTAACTGATGAATCAAGAATGCTCAGCAAACTAACATTTCTGACCAGCAAATGATGAAGTTGAATCAAATCAATAGGTAAGGTTATCCTGACTGCTTTCGCTGAATATTAAATCCACCAATCTATTTTGTGACCAAAATGCTCTTCTTTGGACAACGCAGAAACTGTACCTCAGTCTGGTTAAACTCTTGTCTCATTTTGACAGCCTCCGCCTTACCTTTCATTCGGTTCAGTGGTTGGTGGCAGTAGTGGACAGGGATCCCCGAGCAGTGTCCGTGTGCACATGGCAGCACACTCCCCACTCACCTTGAAATTATAGCCTCCCTGTAAGATCCAATTTGTATTACAGTCAAATTTGTTAGGGAAATACAATTATATGAAGAGAAAATAACGTGACGTAGAAAATCATTCAAGATACATACACTAAACTAGTAAAGTAGAATATATGAATGCTGAATGCTTGGGAATCTTGGTCAACAATTCCAGAATCTAACATTTTTATTTATTCCCTTGAGATTAGCAAATGACCAAGTCATGGATATGGTTGATATCCTTCGTATTAATGCTCTCTGAGCTTGATTTGAAGGTGGCCTGGATCTCCAACAAAGTTCTAGACCTTTTCATAGGATTCCCCATATCCTTTTCAAAAGCTGCGATTCTTGCTAGACAACAGATCTAGAGATACAGTTTGCGGGTGGACAAAAAACTTACGGTGGTCTATAAAAACTGCTCTAGATTTATTAAAGCCATCCTGCCTATTATGAATTTTGTGACGTGCAGCCAAGTTCTCCGTATTTCCAATTATTAAACTTTGGACGAGTTAAACTCACCTCCAGGGCAAGCACAACTTTCCCATTGGCAAGTCCCATTAGGGCATGGGTGAGATGAGCATAGCCAACAGGAGTAATTCGCATCTCACCCTGAAAACAGGAGCACGTGTAGAAGAAACACAAAATAATTTTTTTTTAATTTGTACAATGGTATCTCAATATTTATATATCTCTGCTTTTGTGATAGCCTGAACAAAAATATCAAAAGGAGATCCAGTGAACTGTTTGAAGATTCCTGTTAAAGTCCTTAATGGACCTCCTTTCCTTATCTTGCAGATGGACCTCTACCCTCTGACAACTACAGGACTGGCTGCTACAATAACCCTTTCAATCCCTTGTTTTTAACTTCGTTCTCAGTTCTAAGTGTCGCGAAAGCACCTTACCTGGCCATAAAACTACTCTCCCTTCAGTTGTGTTTAGTAATGGCAGGCCAAACTAGTAAAAATGGCAAGCCTGCCCTTTGTGCATTAAAAAAGGCACTGTTTACGAAAGTGCAGATGTGAAACACGACTGTGAATGGAAGATGCAGCAGGCTCTGATGATGTACATGCACTATTCTGGGTAACGTCAACTGTAAAGTTACAGGGACAAGATTGTTGAACATATAATCTTTGATTACTCACATGGCCAGCCACAAACACAGAGAGCATCTCTCTGCAGGACTTGTTACTTGTTTTGCCACACAGGTCACAGTTACAGATAATATATTTTAAACAGGCCTGTTTATGAGAAAACAGGAACACAGAGAATAAGTTCACCTTAGGGTCACCAACTGCAGCATCAAAACCACAGCAGACGAGTACCAGATCAGGGTTGAACTGTACAAGGGACATACAGAAAGTTGTTACAGGGAGTTGAGAATGAAAATATCAAAGACAATGTTGAGACCTGATCTTCTTGCTACCTATCAGTCGTGCATTTATATCAAAATTCTCCATTATTCCAAATGGTCTTCCAGGAATCATCTGCATTAGTATCAAAGCCTGGTGTTTTGCTCTCTATATATGGACTCCATGCAGCAACTGAACGCAGCACACAATGTGTACACAGTGTTAGAAGGTGCATGTACATTTAACGCCACAAGGTCATAATCCATTGCTATGGGGCTCGAGCTGGTCCAAGACGGGGGCCTAATTCTTCAGCAAGGGAGGCTCCTTGGTACTAACTGCGAATCGCTGGTTCACGAAAACTAGGAAATGCAAGTGCTGCAGTCGCATTGCTTCCAACAAAATGATCAATTCCGACCAACAGGGCTCTAAGTTTCAACCAGTGAGGGGTGCTTCTGCTCAAGGCGGATTGATGTGCTCAAATCCACTGAGTCCTTGGGTGAAAGGAAGACACATCAGAGTGGGCACACAGCACACATAAAAATGGATCACAAATGTTGTTTGAAAGCATTATTTTAAGACAAGGTCACACTCAGCACAAAACAGAGTGCACAAGCTAATTTGTGACATTGTGAAAAGCTTTTACGGCAAACTTTAAATATAGGAGCAGAACACATTTCAAATTTGATGAATTTTTGCCACAAATCCTTCCTGACTTCAAACGTATGCAGTCGCTGACGCACTAAGCGCGAACCAACAGTTGCTTCTGAGGTTCTAGTTTTGCACACAGTTTACAACGTACCTCATAGGCCATTGGGAGTAGCACTTGCTGAAAAACTGCCAGGTATTCACTGTCACCCATTCCAACCTGTGTGATCAAGTGCATAGTAGTCAGTACACTTTCTGAGATATTTAAGTTCAGAATGTGAAAAACTTGTCATTCAAAAATGTGAGCGGTGACCACAGTACACAAAGCTGTCACGCCATTCATTGTCATTCACAAAATGCCTGAAAACTGGGGGGGGTCAAAATGATAAGCAAGCTCACTTTAAATGGTCTGTGTGGAAGTGATAGAGTCTTGCTTTCAAATCAAGTTTTCAAATGCTTTATAATTACCTTATTCCAAGGAACATTGACGTTGAAACCCAAGCCTTTTCCTTTCCCAAATACGTCACAGTTTGAATCTGTCAGATGGGGCCAGAACTCAAGGTGCTCAAACCGGTGAATTGAGAAGTAAAGCACACTAGACCAAAGACAAAAATGGGAGTGAGGCACACCTACCATACTAAAAGTGGATGTCAGTACTTTCACATGGCAAAAACATAGGGACAAAGATGAAGTACTGGGCCACAAGTTAACATGCACAATGTAATGACATATATCACCTTAATCTGGGAATGTTTATGAATAAAGTTATGCATGGCTTTCTCCCTCCCTGTTTGAATGCCTGTTTTACATCTAGCATTCGTGACTGTAAGACTTGAAGAAGCAGTAAGGGAATGTTTTGAACAATATAGCAGAATGCCAGTTTTAAAAAAATGATATTTATCCTGGAAGACAGTACTGGAATGAATGAGATGCTTCTATTAAATCACTGCCATCTTTCACTGTCTTTGTCCAAAAAACTAAGAATTCAATTCTTAGAGATTTGTAGATAAAAAGATTGTCTGTGCTCTTGTAACTAATGGCCTTGTCTCACACCTGTTAGCTATATATTATATCATGTGTTTTTAAAGAAACTTTAGAAAATGTTCTACAACCTTCATTAGGAGATTCTTTTAGAATGTAACAAATTGGACAATGAGTTTAAAAAAGTACCATTTTATTGGATGGACTGAAAACTTGATGCCTCTATAAAAATAAAAGTTTAAAGCATGAACCATTGGTCTCCTGCTGAGTGGCAGATGTTAAATGATTTATGAAGTTTTCTAGCTCGGTAGTTTACAAATCATGAAACTAACTATAGAGGGCAAGTGACTAGGTGCTTACATATAATTATAAAGATGAACAAAGAACTTGACTGAACTGGGAGTTGAACCTGTGACCTCTAAAATACCGTACCAGTGCTCAAGAGCACCTTCGGTGGTGTACAGTTAATGTCTAAAATTATGTAAGCATGCACCTGATGAACTTGGCGATTAATGTAATGTCTGTACCTTGGATCCTCTTCAAAGCAGTACTGCACACCTTGTCCATGATGGACATCCCAGTCCACAATCAAAACCCTGCAACAGCAAAGGAAAAAAACATTTTTATATGATCAAAATCATCGGTACATGTAAACTCGCTCTCAAAAAATTACAATTTCAAGATGCACAAACCATTTGAAAGTTATTAGTCAATGTCGAAGAGTTTCTAAGACATACAGTATGTGTATATGTCATACATGTAGTTGGTGTATTAATAAGCTGACAGTGAATCTGAAAACTTTTATTTTTTATGGAATTTAGTTTAATACGTCAACCTCATTTTGTGAGGTTAGGCCACATGTTTAGGGATGAAGATGTGATAAATGCTAATCCAAGCCAATAGCTTGTGCCTGGCAAGTAATTTGGGCAAATTAAATTCGTGAACATGCATGTAAAAAATACACACAAAGACAAGAGACTAAGTTCTGTGAATTAACTTGCAGAAATCTTCTTGCAACATTGATGTTTTTTTTCAATGTGCAGCTATAGGGTTGCGTGCATGTACGGCCGGTGTAGTGAAACAACAATGTTTTGACCAGGACATTTAGACTGGTCGTGTTGTTTGCATGCACGCAGCACAGTGGGAACCAGCGCAGCGTTGCTTTAATGCATTAACCTTTGCACGCGAGTTTTCACCACTGGGCTCGTATGTTTCAGCAGGACATTTAGTTTGTGTGCATGCGCACCAAAGTGTTTCATGCCCGTGCAAACTGAAGATGGCTGCCCAGTGATCGTGGTTTTGAGCTCAGACTATATCGGGTATCGTCATCTCTAAATTGACATTTTTCATTTTTCTTTGCAATTAATTTGAGTTTCAGACCTTCCAATTTAATTTGTGCAAGTATAATTTCAAAACAACCAATATCTTTCGCCTTATTTTGGATTTGATCGGCGACGTCTACTGCGAATGTTATTAATACAAATGCAAAAATCACTAGTTTTTTAGGTGAAAAATGGCATATTTCTCAAGTTTTCCCGAGCATGCCACTAAAAAAAAAAAAATAAGGCGTGGAATGAATCTCATATGGGCAACAAGTCCTGTTGAAGAGAACGGTAAGTTTTTATTTTACATGTTTTCATCATGTACAGCGCCCGCATTACAAGTAAAAGCATTACAAGAAAAAAGGTTGTTCAGAAGTGTTTTGTAAAGACAGACAAGACAACAGGATTTATTTTTTTATCTTTTTAAATTTATTTTTCTGACTTGCCGATAACAATTTTAGGATCACGCTGAAAACTTTGGGTCGGCCAGGAAACTGGAAGCAGAAGTACATGTATTTCTTGGGGCCTAATGTACTAGTACAGACATGTGCATGTACATGTATGTACATGTAGCCATGTAGTAACCTTTACACAGGTTTTATTTACTTAGTGTTTAGAAACTCTAAACAAGATTGAGTTCAGCAACGACAACTTGTCAAACGCTGGTCAGTTTTGCTTGATACTCAAACTACCACATCCCCAGGGAAAATTAATCAGTAGTCAACAAATGGCCGTCACTGGAATTTGCCACGAGTGATTTATAACAAGGAACCACTATTTGTGGTTTGCTCAATTTGCGCAAAACGGTAACCTCAAAGATCAAAAAAGGATTGTGGGAGACATGACCAAGAATGCAAAGGATCAACTGAGCTCCAACTAACCTCTCACAGTTCCACTTGTGTCTGGCCATGTGGGCTGCCACAGCTACATTGTTAAAAAAGCAGTATCCATTGGCTACGCTCCATTGCGCATGGTGTCCACATGGTCTAATTATTGAAAAAAAAAAGGAATAGAAAGAAACAAACAGGTTCCCGAAATTTCCTGATGATAGGATCTTGATCTTTCCTTCGGAGCCACTGTGTATTTGCTTGTGGGGAGTTATTCAACCAACTGTACTTGTATACAGAACACTGAAAATGTCAGCCCAAGTACACAGACACTAAATATCACATTTGTCAAGTAAAGTTTGCTCGTGTTCCAGCTAGATGTATATGACACTCCAAGTATATGCAGTTTTTTTTTTAAATTTGAAGAAATACACAATCAAAAAATCTCCTGAATGGTCTCAACTACAAACTTATTTTCAGATTCTCCAAGAGTACATGTACATGTACTTACCGAGTAATGGTGATTCCATTTCTAAGCTGCAAAAAAATACAAGGAGACAGAAAATGAGTGATGGTACCGGCTATGCTGTTTTTCCCCATTCAAACTGAGCGTCCAACAGCTACCCACATTTAGAGTGTCAAAATTTACTTCCAAAAAATAATGAACTCTAGTGGCAGGGCCTAATATGTCAAGCACAAATACAAATGATTAGTAAAAATCTTCATCTGTAAAAACAGAGTCTGGGACAGTCTGGACTAAATGAACTGAAGTTTCAAGTTATGTTCATTTCCCTTCCATTCTTTGCTGTTCCACTCAGGGGTTTTCAACCTTATTAGGATTTTGTAGATATTGTGCACGTCTCTTGTGCTAAGAAAAGATGTCACAAACTCCAATGCAGTAAAAAAGTCTTTGTAACAACGAACGAAGTGCTACATACGTCACGCTGCATACCTCTCCTTTGACAACCTTCTCCGTCAGATCTAGCAAGCCACCCAGATTGAGACAGGCACACTCGTATGTATGCTGCAAAATATTCAGTTGCAAATACTTGGAAAGCTTATCTTATCCACAATAAATCTGAAGTGCTACAAGTAATGGTTCACCCTGTACAATGACTTGATGTTACACGTACTTCACAGTGTGGTCTGACGGAGTGATGGCAATTACTGAAACAACCCAGATTAAATGCCTGTTCATTCTACAGGCTAATGTGAAAGAGAAACAAATTTGACATGTACATGTGGCAGGAAAACACATCTTTAAAACACAACAACTCGGCTTATGAGTTGGAATAAATGAGATAAAGAACTGATTATGTGAGAGCGCTGGGTAGAATTCATGCAAGAGTGAAACTAAAGAGTCACTTTTAAACGCACTGAAAATAAACCCTATTTCGTTATAAAAGCATAGCCCAAAGTACCAGTACCTCCCACATTTATGACAAAATCCCATTTGCAGAGCATCTAATGAATGTTACAAAATTCCTAATCGCTGTTTTAGGATCCAGGGTCCAAGAAACCTTGCAACTGAAATATTAACTCTATCTTATTGAATAAAAAGTATGTACGTTGGGAAAGAAATGTGCTTTCATGAATGCGGTTTTCTAGATCCTTACTTCAAGGCAAGAGTTACACCCTCTGTAGACTAAATATGAAGAATTATTCTGAAGCACTTGGTTACGTGTGTTAAGAAAAGGTGTTGTCTATAAAGACATCCAAGAAAGCTGCACAAACAACACATTTATGTCAAGGCATCACTTCACAAATTTGAATAGTGGGTCATGACCACGAAAAAATATACCAACAGAACTTGCCAAAACCAAGCGACTGACAGAGTTTCAAAATGAGTGTACAAGGGGGCCATATCGCCTACGGGAATAGACTTTTCATTCTGGTTGCTGAATTTGTCTTTCAAGGTCCTCAATGATGAACAGACTTTGTTGGAATTTTGGTGTATTTTGATTGGTTCCTGATTACTGAATCTACAAACTAGTTCCCTTTCCTGCCAACCCCCTCACAGACTAATAATGAGACATGCCCCATGAGCGGGGAATTTAACAATGTCGAAAAAAAACAAACATTCAATTGTGTTATTACATACGTTGTTGGCAAAGACGGAGTCATATTGCTCGGCCCATGATTTCAGTTTGCTCTCCTCCATCATCTGCGTAGTTTTGAAACTTTCCAAGTAGTCAACACTATGGGTAAAAACGGAACTTCAATAATGGCAAAAGTAAAATGGTTTCTTGTCTATTCATTACCTCCCTCGCCAGTTCCCAACAATAAATGAGTGCCAACATATACATACACGTGACGGTCACTACCTGTGTGTGGTGAGAATTTCTTCATCCAAAGCTAAACGAACCTGGGTAAGAATAAAAACAGGGAGTAAAACTGTCAGTGACATATGCTTTTTCCCCACCACGAGCGTAATGGCAATGCAACATAGGACATCCCGGTACATGTACACCAAAATACTAGTACATGTACTTGCATTATCCACGAGTCACAAACTGTACATGTATGTTCCAGCAGGAGTAATTTCATAAATCCACTAAGTCACTCCACACGTACAAGTATACAACAATTAATTGGAAGTAATGCATGTCTTAGACATGAAATTGAGGCTGACATGGCAACTTAGGTTGTGGAGGACAACACAGTACGGTACCTTAGACTTAACTATGAAACTCTGAATTAACTAATGTTAAGCCCTCGTAAAATCTAGTGTAAGGGCAAGTTAAGCGTAAGATTTTGATATCCTACTCTCTCAGTGTTGGGACCAGAAAAGTCAGAGATAATAAACCATGCATGGCCATGTTGAAATTATTAACTGAAAGTCAATGCAAACACACGATAAATTATGCTGAGATTTGGTACATTACAAAAGTATCTAACTCCTGATTCTAACAGTGATTTGTGAGGAGAGGATTAAGTTCCAGACACAAGGCATTTCATTTGAATACTTCACACATCAATGCTTACACAGTCTCCTGATGTTGGTCAAGCTGGTGGTGAGCATGACATTTTTAACTTACATGTACCTGTCAACCATGCCTTTGTATACAGACTACATGTCCTCTCAGGTAAAGCGGACAAAGGGACATTATGGTAATGTAAAAAGAGCCTCTGGGGAATATTTCCTCTATTCGTGTATCATCTACAAGTGAACGTCTACCTGTAAATGTACACATTCAAGATCACAATGCTGAAACAATTCTCAGTGACATAAAGTCAGGCCGTTGAGTGCCATGATGCTGTGGAAATTCATACAGGAGGGGGGCTTAAACTAGGAGGCACTTGTATATATATATGCGTATTTGCAAGCTTCCACGCCTTAAACTGAAATGCTTATACACTTATACAGCTACTTCTCCATTGTTCTCTTCAAAATAAGAGTAACATCAAAATATGCATGATTCATTTCTCAACATCAAAAAGGGAAGATGGTCACACTGCTCATCTCCAGGTCAAAACAGTGGGAGAGACCACCCAACACCCACCCCTGGATTCATGCCCGTGACCACTACGGATCGCGAGGCTTTACACTTACTGGGACATCAGTGCATCTTTCCAGGAGCTTGTAGTCCTGCAGACTCTTACGGCATAGCAAAATGCGGTCAGAATGCTCGGATCTAAAATGACGAGTATTGAAGGGGCACTTGTGTAGGGTTAGACGCTCATCGTAGACTAGGCCGGTCCTGGACAGATGCAGAAATCGAAAGGACTCTTTGAGATGACAGAATGGAGAGTCACCCAGGACCTCCACTGGACATCTGACCTCATAAAGCCATGTTATAAACGAAACATTGTCTCCACCAATTTCCTTTTCTGATACCAAATTCTGTTTATTTTTAAATCCTCCCCCCCCTAAAAAAACCACCTGTATTTTGGCTTTATGTTTTGGCACCAGGTACTATAAAAGTTAACCTGTGCCACAACATTCATAACACAAAGAACGTTTTGATTATTGGTATACTTGACAAGAAAGTTGTCAGCTTTTTCTAGTGTAAAGGCTAAATACAGTGGCCATCTTGGCCAAGAGAAAAAGACAAAGTCCTTTCTTCAAAACACTAAGATGATTAATTGTTTTATTTCTTGATTGTGTTTAAATTGGCTTGAGCAAGAACAGGCAATGCCATATAGTTTTCATGATAGTTCCTGGGATTGCAACTGATACCCTGCATTGAGACAATTCATCCAACTCTTCTTGTCTGACTTACCAAGAACTTAACTAATAACTATGCATAAACATAAAAGGCAGAGCCCCTGCGTGGGCATGCCAACAATTCAGTGGCCCTTGCAGAAGCTGCACAAGGAAGTTGGCCCTCCTTACATATGTACACGCATCTGAGAGATCGCTGTACATGTACATGTGGTGTTAGAACAGCCCATTTTCATAACAGCCACATGCTTGGCAAGCATATACATGTATGGGAGGTCAGGATGGGACAGTGGTTCTCTCCTCGCCTTCCACGTCTGCGGCCCAGATTCGAATTCCAGCTCGGTCTACATGTGGATTGCGTTTTCAGTCCCTACCCGATTCCGTGGGTTTTATCCAGAATAATCCTCTGGGGTTTTCCTCCCAACTCTAAAACTGTAACTGCGTCTCACTGTCTCCTCTCTACAGTGCCTAGGGCACTTTTGAGGAATCCTCGGTGTCATTACCAGAAATGATTAACAATAACAATACTAATAATATGATTGGACAACCAATAATAAATATGTACTTGACTCTGCCATCCCTGACAAGCACCCAACACCACATGCTTGTTCCAGCTTGACCATCAGAATATGGGCTGACTCATTTCTACCCTTTCAGCATTAGAAACGGAAAGCCCAGGGCCCTCAAAACTGAAGAAAAACAAACTAATTGATCTAAATATTTCACTGATGCTCACTCCATGCCAAATTTGTGGTCTCAAAGACATTAAAATTTCTAAAATTGACTCCAGTTGGGGTTGGCCCAAGGTCACACAAATGTAAGATATTCATTTAGAGCATACAGGTTCCTTTGAACTTGGGACAGCCATGTTAGTCATGCATGTGAGCTAGACTTCATCTTACATCCGAGCCCGTCAGAAATTATCTCCAATACACAATTGGCTCTTCAATGTATGTGCAACCCTGAAAACCCCTTCGATGTTGAAACTGACAGTCTGTGGGCAGACACTTCAAAGCCTTGTCACTCTGCGCCCCATACCCACTCACAGACTGAATGCATGTAGGTCTGTGCGCACTCCGGTGAAAAACTGGCATTACGTGTTCCAGAACCCACACTCAAGAAACGATATGCACATTATGTGGACACTTACCCACTTGGCACAGCTGGCCATGTGTCAGACACTGTCTGCAAATAAATAGACGGCAGCACAGCAGTGAGAAAAATCAGGGCTTCTTCACAGTTAATGCTGATATAACTTAGCAACAGGTTTAACAGTCTGAGGGACAGATTTTACATTCATGTATGCTGTGTGAAAAATGGCCCCAGGTGCCAGAAAACATGCAATACATGTAAGCCTCCACAACACAACAGTTTCCACATCAACATTTCACCTCTTTGCCTATATGGTAATCATTCCGTTTTGAAAAAGAGAATTAGGTCACATTCAATTGGGTGCATTTAAATGCAAAAGACATAATTATGTTGATATGATTTCATTAATTATATGTACGATGAACACATTGTGGGCTATAATGATACAGAGGGAGGATTTATTGTCATGTACATGTGGCCGACAAACTACGGTGGAGCCTCGTTAACTGGAGCACCATTAATGTAACATTCTGCTGAATGTACACGTACATGTAGGTACCAGTTCTTTGTTGGTTTTCATTCCTGATAACACAAGGTTCCTTTTAAAACCAGGTAATTTCCAAAGTACAGAGGACCTCTAATTATTGAGGTTCAACTGTACATTACTTAGAAGTCAACACATTTCTACACGTTCCAATAAACAGGACTGCAATCGTATGGCAGTTTTTGGACATGAACTCCCAAACGTTTGCATATCAGGTGCACCTCACATTGTCAGCTTGCAAACATTTGCAAACTTTCAAACTTGTGCTCTTTGAACTGTTGTTATTTTTCTACTCACCATCCCTGCTAGTTGAACGGCGAGTTCATCCTCCTCAGCTTGGCCACGTTGGATGTTCTCTCTGCCTTTCTTTTTCACAGCTTGCAAGGCAGAGTTCGTCCGTCTATTGCCCTTCCTTCCCGTTGTCTTTCCTGAGCCCTGCTGCTTGGATTCCTCTTTGCCCTGCAGGAACAATGAACTCAACCCATTGTTTGTATTCCAGTTTCAAAGCACATATTAAAACTCGGTACCAGTCGGAATGATTACGCCCACAAGAATTGAAAATTCTCAAGTTTATGTCTAATGTACAGTATGTGGGGTTTTTCTACGCAATTTTCCTGAGCACACTTGACTTGTTTCCAGAATAAGGTGGAGGTCAGAACATGTCAAAGTATCTTAAGACAATTTTATCTTCAACACGTGTTGCAAAGTTTTGCAGTTTTAGTATAAAACATTTTTAGATGAATACCGGGGTAGTTCAATGCGATGGTTTTAAAATCCATCTTTCACAGACATTTTAAACTTGCTTGTTATGATGATTATCTAATGAAAAGAAAATGAAAAGTGTACTGTTGGTTGCATTGCTGTCAGTACCCTTTAATGCTCACATGGGGTTATGAGCTTTTCTTTCTCATTATTTAAAAAAATGTTTCAATCTTCATATTTTATATTATTCAGTATGCTGTAATTCTAATGATTTTGCATTATAATTTTTGTTATTATATTTGTCTACACGTGATTTCTATAGCTGTCTGTGTTTGTAAAAACTGTCTCAATTCAGCCTCTGCCCACAAAGATGTTTTAGTTTTACTTAAATAAACTAATTCAATTCCAATTCAACGTTAATTTGTGGATATGCTATTGTGTATGGGATGGCAATGCGAGCAAACAGGCAAGCAGTATCGTTTTATATCAGAGAGTATTCAACTCTTCAACATTTCGATTATATCTGCAATGAGTCACATCATATACAGTGGACTGCACCACAGCAGAATCCTACTGCATGAAAACCACAAACTGTAGCAAATACATGCACATTGCAAATACCCAGACAACTACAAAAAACTTCACATTTATCTCATGCAGCACCCAACTGTGCCCATTAAGCCGCCAGTAGGCATGGTAGGCCTACACATTTCGTCTTCCAGGTTTATTAATGGCTCCTGCAAGCAACTTTTGTGCACTAGGCAGGCTGAATACTTCTTCGAGAAAAAGAGACTAGCCTAACATTTCGGTTTGGCTGCTGTTGAGGTGCATCCTGGGATACCATTCCCAGAATCCCTTGCTGGTCATCTGCCCCTGATGCAACCTGCATTTCTGGGTCAGAATGTTGCTCCTGCAATACAGTTTGAGGGTTGTCCCTTTGGTCAGGGGAGTCATCAGCGGGCTGGTGTTCCATTGTAATACAGCTCCTGTTGAAAAAGACAAAACAAAATGGAAACCAGATGATGTACATGTATGTTGTTCTGCAACAGAACATAGGGCTTTTTCGCATTTCTACATTTTGAGAAAAATGCATTTGACATGCGTACTTCCTATTAATCAGTAGTTGATACACAGAATGCACTACCATGTAGTATAAAAACTATGAGCATTGCCCTAATTCCTTTGTCCGCAGTTTTAATGCGTTGCACGTACATGCACAGTACATGCATGTACGTACAATGTATATGTACATAGTGATGTACACTGTACATGTACATGAACATGTACTTACATTGTACATGTATGAAGTTCAAGGCACGCTGGGTATGCCTCCCAACATGTCCCAAAATTCCTCTCACTAGGCCTAGTAACAACTAAACTTCCACTCCATTTCACCATTCAGGACTCATCTGTGTAAATAGTATGGAGGACGAAAAGTGGCCATCTGCTTTTCTGTTATCATAATAGAAGAAAAGCTGATTTTATGTTTTTGTAACATGCAATATTCGACTTTTCTACTTTTCTGCTACCTCAAAAGCAGAATGAACATTTGATTGTAATGTATTTTCCACTTTTCTGCGACTACAAAAGCAGCTTTACTTGTCCTCGTTTTGCTGGCAGACAAAAAGTGGCCATCTGCTTTTTACCTGTCAAAAAAGCAGGAATTAAAAATTTTGACGACAACTGTTAATTCAACTTTTCTGCTTTTGTGATACCAGAGAAGCAAATGAAAGAAAAGTAAAATCTGCTTTTCGTGAAGCAGAAAAGCAGAAAATAGAAAAATGCATTACCAAACAATGTTCGTTCTGCTTTTAAGGTGGCAGAAAAGTAGGAAAGTCGAAAATTGTACGTTACAAAAACATAAAATCTGCTTTTAAACTACATGTATTCTGACAGCAGTAAACCGTAGTAAACAGACCTTTAATTCAGGCTTCGGCAGTGTACATGAGAGCATACATGTACATGTAGACGTAAAGGCTTATAAATTTTTAACTACATGTACACCCCACCAGACCTATTTGTTTCTGTTTTCTTTTTGAAGTGATCTTGGAAAGGATATCATACGAAACATTTTGATTCCATAAAATGTTTGTTCTTATTCGTGCCTAATTTCAATGAATTAAATGCTGTCTTCACTTGAAATTTCAAAAATTTTGGAATTGGAAATTAAAAAGGCCCCAGACGTGCTAAGGTTAGACCTAGAGCCTAGAAGAGCCAAAGCATGGAAAAGACTAATTTTAATCACCGTTTCCTATTTAAGAAACTGAGTTTCCAACAGCACCTTGCTCATTTATGCACATCCCAAGCATAAAATGATAGAGGCGAGAGCATGCCTAGGCTACATTAAAGTAGGAAACAAACTAGGCTAGCCTAGCTACATGTACATGTAGGCCTACATAGGGTGTTCATTACTTTTAGCACCCTGTTCCTATAAGGGAACAAATTCTACTTTCTTGAAACAACTTCTGAACAACTTGTTGGTGATGTCATCTTTCATATCAAAAAGAAAAGAGAACAGGGCTTGTGGTTTTTGAGGGAAAGTTTGGGTCAAAACGGCAGCTTACATGACCGCCCTGAAGAGTTGTGAACAACAAATTAGTGTTCCTTGACCTGAATGGAGATTTGTTTTGATGAATCCAAAATGCCCGAGTCAGGTAACTAGATGAGAAACAAAATGGTGTGATTCGACTGAGCGGTTGCCTCTTGCCAAACTCAGGTCAGAACAAATGTGTGGTTTTCTTGCTTAAATATTGTCAAAATTAAACCTCAAATAGGCCTTTCAGGATTGAGTTCCTTAAGGTCAAAATGTCAGTTACATGTGGTTTGAGAAAGTGGACTTTATTTCCTTTTCTGCTCCAAACGGAACAAAAGAAAGCCCCGCTCTTTTTTCTACTACTCACTGCATAGGCGCGCGTTTATAAAAGTCCAAACTTTGAGGAATAGGCCTACGCCGGTGTTAGTAAAATTGTCCAGTTATTCTCGTTTCGAAAGATATTACAGGATTCAAAGTTTGTGACAATCCTGCAGTTTGGATTTCGGGCATTAAAGACATGCCTTCAAGTAGGGCTGTGGTTGTGACAGATAACACTCATTAAGAATAAGAGATAGATTGTAAAAGAGAGCCACTACAGCCCAACATGTGGGGAGCTAGGTCAGACTGTTTACTACTCAGTGACAGTAGTCTAGCTCTACAGTAGCAGTCCACTGAGTGGAGCATTAGTATTCGTCTTTTTCGAATTTTGGACTGGATCGTACTATACTAGTAACACTCCACTCAGTAGATCATGTAGATAGAGCTAGGTACATGTAGGCCTAGTATGTCAGTCACTGTCCATACCATGGCAATAAAATGACGGGTTGCATAGGCCTACCATGCATACACTACAGTCTGTCTAACATAGAGCAAAGGCCAAGGGCTTCATACAGCCGGCCATGGCCTTGTCTCCTTCTGCATGCTTGACATTAAGAATATACAAGACACTGAGGGCTTAATGCTACCATTTCTAACTTACCAAGATTATTGTGAAATACAAGTCTATTATTAATAGTTACAACGTTAAGTAGGCCTGATAAAGGACACGAAGCCGAAGATAAGCCGAAGTTAGCGCTTACCGCCAATTTGCGGAGTCACCACCTCTTGGGGGCGCAATTTACTTTCAAGCTCAAGAATAGGAGGAGGCGCGCGAACCGACTGCCTAGTCCTACTCATGCTTATTTTGTGTGTGGTAATTCACTAAAACTCAAAGTCGAGACCACTTAAGACCTTCACAAGACCAACACAAGACCTCCAGTCTAAATTCAAGTCAGAAGCTATCCAACTGAATCAAAAAAGAAAAAAAAAATTCCTTTGTCATTGTTCACAGTGTTACCGTGATGATCTTGTGTCTGGTCTTGTGCATGGTCTTGTGTCTGGTCTTGTGATTGGGCCGACTACAACACTGAAACTCAAATGTTACCGCAGCAACCGATACAAAGGGGGTCAACTCTCTTGCCATTTCTTTTCTTTTTTATAGTTGCCCACGTCTAAAGGCTGCAAGACTTTATAAAAAGTAACCACGTGAGAGTCTGAGACGAAATAAACCGATTGAATGATTTCAGGGGAGCGACAACTAAACCCCCACCAGAATAACGGTCTCAACCCTCTCGAAAAAAAATTGGACAATCTCCTGAAAGAATTTACCAACTTCATAAAGTAGATAATTTGCCCAGCTGTACTTGCATCAAGTTGACACTTTGCTTGAACATTAGATTAATTACAACGGTAGACAGCACTGGAGTTTTACAACTACTGACACGAAATTTAATGAGGCTCTTCAAGCGGCATAACTGGTGTTTCCCCTCTTGAACCTTGTCTTAATTATTCGGCTCTCATTACATTGAAACTTGTTCAACTTGTTTATTGTGGGTACTCGTTCTTCCTTACCCTACTGCAAGAAGTACTTTTTTTTAGTACCAAAGCTAATAGTGACATTGAACTGGTTAAAATGTGAACGAAGCTGGAACACTGAGTAATGTATGCACAAGATATAAGATTACAAAATAAGTTAAAGAGTTCAGACAATAGTTTTCATGAGAAAAGTACTCAGCCGAGTGCTTTTTACCACATCGTGGTACAATAGTCTTTTACAGTCTTTGATTTTTGTGTATTTACCATCTAACAGTTGAACACGTTTTTAAGATTTGTTCACCCCAAACAGGTCAGTAGAAAATTTGTACTCCAAAAGTACTCAGCAACAAGACTGCAAGCAATGTATTATTTTGATCCCAAGTAGGCCTGAACGTGCACAAGAGCCTATCGTGCGACACCAGTTTCCGGACGAAAACTCCAAGGCAAATAATAAAGAGCGTTTCTTGAAGGTGAATCAATTGACCCAACCTAGAGGATGACTCTGATGTTCATTCGCAACAAAGCAACATCACATCAGTGAGTGGAAGACAAACTGAGAGGCACTGGCGGAAGCACTCAGGTTGCCCCCCCCCCCACTTTTTGCAGGTCCTATAATTGGATGATGCTTAATGGATCTCCCTAAGAATGGCTGAAGCCTGATGTCTCATCTGCACCCCCCCCCTTGAAAACTGTTCTGCTGCCAGTACTGAATCGAAAAATCAATGATTATTGGGGACTTCAGAGTGTCTTTTTCTACAGCCACACAGGAATCTGTCCCCGGTACGTTCTCTAGCCAAGCGTTACAGATGATATTTTTTCCAATCCGGAAGCCTCTCAATGAGTTTAAATGCAGTCGACTTTGCACACGTTTTCTAAATTAGGACTCTCGTTCTTAATATTCAAAATTGTGGGGTGTCGAAGGAGGGTGCCGAAAATCTCAAGTTTGTCACTGACAGGAGGTTGGTGTGAATGGACGTCACCAAAAAGGTGAGGAGCAGAATGAAGGGGACACTGCAGTCAACAGTGGAAGTTTCTATTCCATGTTTTTCAAACAGAATAATTGTGATTTTTATCCCATTTCTCTTCCCCTTTCTTTTTATTTCTATGTCTATTTTAGTTTCCCCATTTTTTTGTCAGTTCTGTTTTCTCCCCCACTTTTCTGAGCCTACGCCCCGCCCCCTTCAAGACGCCCTTGAAATGAACGGTTAGTGCAAAAAGCGAGAAGCACATGCTTTGATGTTTACGGCATTGGTGTGTCTTAAGTTTAACCAAAATTTATTTTAATGACGTGGTTATGCGCAATGCCCAGATCTGAGAGGTACAGATTCCCAGCAGTAAGAGGCCTAGTAAAAAAAAATCCCCTTATACGGTTGACAAAAAATACAATCATAATAATATCAAGTGCGATCAGGTTTAGAGAAGTAGGGCAGAATTCAACAAAATATTGCCCATCCGTCAGAATGCTTCCTTTCCTTTTTCATTTCGTTCATCGCGTTTATTATGAAGCTATGAGTATATTTATAAATGACATGACATGATGAAGAGCCGGTGGCCACAGTCTTTATAAACTGTTGATACCGGATGTAACTTCAACCAGCGATGCATTTTCCAGATGATCAATCACCGAGTGATTGATCATCTGAACGGAAATTACTCTTTTCGGACAAACATCCGAGCCAGAAATGAGACACTGAGATACTTTGTGGCTATATCGTTTCGACGCGCGGTTCGAGGATATGGCAGAAGCTTTGCCCAAAACGGTCAGATCCACCATGAGGCTTCTCTTGACTTGGCTCCCGGTACTTGCGTTCGTCGCAGTAAGCCGGGGAGATGACTCGGCCGAGATGATAGGTGAACTTGTACCTGCAAATGATGATCTCGTGGTACAAAATGTCCCTGTCGGCGATGGAGAGGACTCAACAGAGGCTCTGGCCCCGGCAGGCCTTGGTGAGGACTCATCAGATGAGGACCTCACGGGCAAGACACCTGGTGCTGGTTTAGATTCACCTAGGCCTGGGGAACTTACAGGGGACGGTGCTCCTACGAATGGTGAAAACTTGTCCGATGAGCTGTCAGATACCCTTGAAATGACTGGGAATTCGCAAGATCATCCAAGGAGGGAAGTCGGTAAGTATAGTTACTCGTATAATAATTGTTGAATGGCGACTTCTAGTCCTTGTATTTTGCAGATTGTGAGCAACCATTATTTTGTTGGAAAGAAAAACACGAACGAAAACAAGACAGAGCAAAACAATCTCCTTCTTTATGGATGACCAACAACATAGCTCTTTATATTACTCGTTAATAAGGTAACCAGCACTATCGAGGTATATTCAACCAGAGTGGTGATTTTTTTTCACACCCTTTCTCCCCTTTCCTGTCTTACACTCTTTGTCTAATACTACGCCACTGCTTGCTACTCCAGGAATTGCTATGATCGCGTCCATGACCGTGATACAGGGATGTAATTAGAAAGTCGGCAGTCGGCACGGTTTCATTTTTTCTACCGACCTTAAAACCACTCATTCTTCCGGTCTGCCAACCGTTGGGATTTACTTTTCCACGAGATGGTACTCTATATTTTCCTGGGGTGGATCAAGGAATTTTGAGGGGGGTGTCAGACCGGAGATTTTATTAATGTATCATTTTTGCGGACAAGCAGAAATGACGATGAAACTCCACGGCATACATTGTTTACAAAGTTATCGATGCACTTACTTTGGTTATTGTGTCATTATTTCCCCTACTTTTAGTTTTTTGGGTCTCAGAGCGGGGGGGGGGGGAAACACCACCTTTAAAACCCCCTGAATCTACACCTGTCTTCCGTCACTCCAGTGGACTTTTAAGTGTCTCAGTTTGTGATAGTCGATCCTTTTTACTGTCGGTTATGCGCTGGCCCTTGCTCAATTCCAAGGATAGGGCCGTTACTACGATAATTTTATGCAGATGTGATCATTTTTTGATCTGCCAGGGACAAATCTGAACACATTATGACCTACTGAATGATAAACATGATAAAGGTCGAGGAGAATCCAGGGGCAACGGGGACAGCCTCGCCCCCCCCGAAAAGGGGCAAAACATGGGGGATAGTAGGAGAAAAACGATTGGTCTATTTTCTTTTTCTTCCTTCCCAAAACGTGTAAAAAGCACCCAAACGCAGCCTTAACCACAGAAATGCATTTATAAGGGCACCTAAAAAGTCTAACTGCAATATTTCTGCCTCTTCCCTTCCAAAAAAAATCTCCCCTCCCCCCAAAAATGTTTTTTGATCCGCGCCCTTGCTCGAGGTACCGAACGAAGCATTATATCAGTTGTTAGTAGGAGATCAAGCTAGCTACTTTGAATACCCGTCAGTGGCCTGTGATTTTGTATAACAGGTACACGCAGTCTTCAACGGCCGCCAGTACTGTCATCCGAGGAGGCACCATTCCTACGGGGCCATCGCACCGTTACTCACGCATATCTTAACTTTTGAGCGCGCGCGCGCACTTTGACCAGTGACGACACCCTTTTGGTCGGATAGGAGTGTAACGCGCGCGTACCACCTGCGTGCAAACAGGGTGGCCCCCATTGATCTCCACTATAATGGAGATCAATGCCCCGCAGAATTCGCCCCGAGCTGAAATGCACCCCCAATCGGCAAAAGAAAGTCAGGTGGTTACAAGCGGGTTCTTGCAGGTGTTCTGCGTGTACGCAAAGGCCACACATGCATGCATGCGTGCGTCGTGTCATACGCGTGTATATACTTGCGTATATACTGTTGTTCTGCTCTTTTCGCTGAATATGGGACTATAGTGTAGCACAAGTCAACAGTGTACCCAACGTATATTAACAGGTAAGAATTGTTGGTTAATTTCCCAGATCGATTTGTGCTTTGGTGTTCCTTTAAATTTCCAAACTTGTGCCCTACGACGGGAGTTTCACAATAATGCGTTTCCAAGATTTTGCAACACGTTGACCAATCACAACGCCCAAAATCTGTCGACCTCATTTATCTCCATAAGACTGGATAGGACATCGTGTCCAAAACGCGTCCCACGTAGGCCTATGCATGTTTTCGGGAGGCTGTATCCAAATCTGTTGTCTAGAGCTAGGTCTAGGTCTTCACTCCATTTAAAGTACGTGGAGACACGCAGACAATAGACCTAGCCGTAGCTCTGGAAGCCCGTTTCGGACAAGCGTTGCGAATATTGTTGCGTGCACTTTCAAACGGAGATTTCAAAAACTGGTTGAGATTGTTGAACATATTGTTCTTCGCCCAAATTTTGTTGTTCACGTTTTTTGTCCAAATTTTTTCTACCATCATCAATCTCTCCTGTTTGCCTTCAAAATCGCCGTCCCGTCGGCTGTCGCAAGCTGTCACTCGGCACCGTCCACGGTTGCGTTACGGATAATGTTGAAGCTCCTTGAAGATTCCTAATTTTTAAACAGAAACCATCTGTGTTCTGTACCATGCATGTAATCAATAGGTGTCGTGGGGCATGTCTGTCAGCGCAGTCTCAAATCAGACTATGCTTGGTTTGGTCCACTGATGATTTGAGACTTCTAGACTACACTTAAACTTCTTAATCTTAAATGCCGCAGGGGCCGCTCACGTTCAGACATATTAAAGCAATTATGACCGTTCCGCGTTATGCATTTATTTTTCTGATTTATTTTTCTTCCATTTTTGTGGCTTGCTATAGAGTTCACCTCCAATGACCTGTTTGTAATATCGGGCTCACTGTCCACACAGCCTATGATCCTCTCTTCCTGAACGCACCGGATAACGGTTTCCTGTGGTGTAACATTAAGGCGCAGCATTTGTAAGGGGGAAACACAAACACAGCGCGATATTCTTAGACGTATTTCCGGCCTGGAAAGCCACTGACTAGCCCATCTCCACGAACTGTAGTATAAAGTAGACGAGAGTAATCAGTTGTAAATTTCTTGAGTTCGAAATATACACTCAATCAGCCGCTATGATTTCGTTCAAAGAGACAGTATTACATATTTTAGTGGCATGTGTGCTTTTCTCGCTGTTTCTCGGCTCTGTGCTGCCGACAAAAGCTGCCCAGACTGGTGAGTTGAATCATTTTGCCACACTTTGTGGAACCATTTCCCCATGAAGGTTGTTAAGCCTACGGCGATCCGACTTTTACATTTTTGAATTTTGAAAGATTACAAAGAACAAACTTTTATCGTCTTAATCAACAGTATGTACAATGCTTAACTTTCGAGAGAACTGCTGGACCGCTTTAATCTTCACAATCGAAAATCTACAAGATGGCAAGCTTAACTCTTTGGAACTCTTAGTATTCAGTATGGTGTAATTGTTTAACACAGCGAGTGCTTTGTTTATTCTTTTTTATTAGATACGCACGCTTTTGGGGGTAATTCAAATAGGAAAGAATCAAGCGCACAAAGCAAAACAAACAATCAAACAAAACAAACACTGGCAAGTTCACCTCGTTCTTTACCCCGACCGACATCTTTGACGTCGTAGGCCCCCCATATTATTCGTTGTGTTTGACACCTTGGCACTTATTTTTCAAAAGAGGAAGGATGTGGACCATTGCGAATTCCCTTCAACCCCACGGTTGAGGTATATACCCGATTCTTAGCTGTTGTCTTTTGTCTGCATTCTAAAGCCAGTTTTCATAACAATAGGCCTATCAGATCCAACTTAATCACATGCAAGCACCATGAATGAAGAACACTTCTTTAAATCTAGGACTGGAATATGGCGTTGTCGTGGCATTATTGTACTGTGTATACTATCGCTGTTTGCCATTTCGCAGCGATAAGGATTTTCCACTGTATTACAGGGGTCCAGTTTGCGCTCTGCTTTTTGGCTTTTGGCGGGTGTATGGTGCGCACGTTTAGAAAAATAGCATTGGCCCAGGGAATTTTATCGACTCTCGGCGTTTCACGAAGGAACATTGGTTTCCATATTGATGGTGCCAGAAGGGTCCCGTCTGCGATGCCGCTGTTTTTTCGTTTCGTATGTTTACTTTTGGAAACTGTCCACCTCGAGCAGAAGCACCCCTCCGTCGGTTAAAAAGGGCCCTGTAGGTTGGGAGTGTTCATTTCGTTGGTAGCGATGCGACTGTCACGCGTGCATTTCATAGTCGTTCGTGAACCGGCGAACTTCAGTTCCGACCAAAGGAGCCCTTGTCGCTAAGAAAATTGTGCCCTCTTGATCCAGCTCGAGGCCCATAAAGGCTCAATGCAGCAAGCCCTGCTTTTTCTCCGTTGGCAGAAACATTTTACAGATTAAATCATCCACGATCACGAAGGCCAACCAGGAGACGTTTCAATATTTGTGCAGAACAGAGGTTTATTAGAAACTACGCAGGGACGGTAACTGACAGAAAGTTGTAGATGCAGTGTAACGAGGTTGAAAAGTGCTGCTACCAATGGATACCGTTGTTACCGCGCGCCCCGAGCTGAGGTTGATCTACTTGTTCGGCTATGAGCTTCGAGTAGGTGTATTACAAGAGGATTTCCGAATTTTCCATCTCAGGTTTTTATTTGATTTTAACAACCTCGATATGGGAGGATGAACTTCCGTCGAAGTTTCGCAGCTTGTGCACGCAAAAACAGTTACATGTTTGTAAACGCAAAGGTAAAAATTATATGATCCTCAATGAACCAACCAGAAGTCCGTGCTACCGGGACGTAATGCACCTAGTTCAGTTTGGCGGGAAACCGCTTCAAGGAAACGTGATGAGTCATATAGAACCCTTTTGAGGTGACATCACGCCTTTAAATCGCACTTTCCATCAGTCACAGTTTGTGCCAGTACATTTGAGGTCTGCCAATAGATTTTGGTAAGTTCTGATTTTCTCGATGACAACCTGTATTATTTATCAACACGAAATAATCATTTGTATATAATTTATATGATGAGCTCAGTTTTTATTAATGTTTATTAATGTTAATTTTGTCTAAGCTGGGAAAATGTTTTCTAAAAGATACAGATACGCGTTTTGGTTATTACAGCCATCAGCATAGGACTGACGTATTTTCAAATTTCAAAACTGTCTGGTGAATGCGAAATTACCTCAGAGTAATATGTTTTCTGTAATAACGAAGCGGACTCACGAGTTACAACATGTGAAAAAGGTGATATGATTCTGGGTGGATTTTTTGGGAAGTATGTATACGAAAATCGAAACACTTGAATTTACATCATTTGCAAACAGTACATTTCAGTATTAATTTTCAAACAAGTCTTATTGCCTTCAATCTTTGATGCAATCATCTGTCACATTAATAATTTTGCATCATTCAATTTTAAATCGATGTTATATATATTTGCTCCTGTGGCTTTTGAAAAATATTACTGTTAATGAATTGGAACAAGAATAATTTACACCAAAATATTTATTTAACTCAGTGGTTAGTTTCTCGCTATGGTTGAGATCAATACCCCAAAGTTTGACATTGACTGCGAGGCTTACAGTAGCCACTGTATGAAAATAGCTACACGTACAATTAACTTTCTTTCCGATCATGTATTTCATAATTGTGTGCAATATATTCCTTTAGATGCTACAACAGTGAAATAACCCCTAACGAGAGCCATGCGACTCCAAGTCATCCTCGCTTTTCTTTGTGCCACCGTGTGCAGTGCCGTTTATGCTAAAGGTAATATGACTGATCTTTAAACTCAACCATAATTTTAAAGTTTTTCACCAAAAAAATAACATGAGTAGGCCGACCACATGTCGAACTGTAAGCCTGTGGGTTTAAGAGCTGCTATTGAGATTGCAAGAATAATGGGAATAATGCTTCCACGGCCTTTTCCTTATTAAATTGTTCATCTTTATAAGCTTTTCTTTTAAATCTCAATTTTCAATCTAATCTGGTGCTGGAGTATTCCACAGTCCTGCATCGATAGGAAAACTGCAGATCCGCCACTGTGGTCGGGGTTCAGTTTCCGGTATGCATTTAGTATTATTCTGTGTCTGTTAGAGTGGAGCCTACACGCTGTAAGAGTCCTTGAGTTTTTACCAGCCTCGATTCAAATCTGACTTTGTGTTGGGTCCATAGTCAGAATTTCCTTTACATGTCCGGCATGAAGGTCACACATAGGCCTACTGAACGTGAATTTGTGACAGTAAGGCCGGTTCATACTTCGGGCGAAAGCGAAAACGAACGCAATTGTGTGAAATATTTGCGCTGTGAATTCGCAAAAGTTGAACAGATCATGGACTCTGCGAATTTCACTGCAAATGTTTCGTGGCGTCAAATTCTCCGCTTTCTCCAGAAGCATGCATAAGGCCGGTTCATCCTTCACACGCTGTAGCTTTACGCTGCACACGCGCCGGTCTCACACCAAAGTTTGAAAAAAATCATTTGGGAATTCCACCACGGTTGAGGGTACATGCGATTTCAGCATGACAAGGAAACGTCACGCACAGAATTATTGGCCAAATGAGAGTACCGACTGCTTATAATATTATAATACTCTTAATAATATTATAATAATTCCACATAACTCCACAGCTGTTGCCATATATAAAGTCACACTTGGATCAGAACACCTGCCATTGCTTCCCTATATGTGTACTCATTAAAGAGCACGATGGAATAGAGTTTTATATTTTGTTTAAAAACAAGGAACTCCAATTCGAGATGTTTCGTGGAATCAAGCTGCAATTCAGAGCCAGGATGGGATGAAACGAAAACATAAACAAGAGAGAAATAGGACCTAGACTTAACTGTTAATCCCTCAAACTTTGGGAGACCGATGTGGTGAAAGAATGGGCCATTAAAATTTGAGATCCGTGCTTTGTTTTCAGGAGTAAGACTAAGACGAGACAAAGAGAGCTCGGAATCTAGTGAAGAAGGTTCTAGCCAAGGTAAACATAAAACAGTCGAAGGATAATTAAGCATGTATAGGTAGAACTCTGCTACGTCACAGTCGTAGTTTTTGACTGCTAGAGGATGGAAAAACTATGACTGACCGTCAGGACAGACGGAACAGAATAATTCATACAATGTTCATAAAAGTCACGCAGCTGGTTGATGTCAGTATCACTATACTACTCTGTACTTTAAATCAGTTTATAAGGGGTGATTGAGCATTATGAGTCACGTGTCAGCACGCAAGGGTAAACTTTCTGGCAAGGTTTGGCATGAAATGGGCAGTAGGAAGGTCTTCTCTCTAAAAACACCAGTGTTAATGTTGTGGGAGAAGTTCTTCGTTAGCCGAGTCAAAGGTCCATTCCGACCATAGCTGTTGCAATGGCTCCAGTTAAGTTCACAGTCATGGCCTATCAACAATGAACGAAATGGCCTGTAACAAAGAAACGCATGTGTGAGTTCATTTGAACAGCTTATGACGTGGGGTGGCATGTGATGAATTACGGATTAATGATGGCCACGACAGCAACGCATTTGGTGGGGTCAAGGCATTTCTTGTGCATGGATAATTAAGAGAGAGAGACTGTCATCCGCAATTGTAAAAAAGACAAAACTCACATTATCAAGTTGTAAGACGTTGATTTCATGTTGGAAAGGCGGTTTGGACACCAAAATTAGAAGGTGTTGCTCAGGAAGAGAACTATTTTGTAGGTACAGTTTCGCTTGCTCGCGCACACTTTCTAAATAGAGCTCAAATGTAATGACGTTACGGTTTGTTTCCATGTGAGCTTTCATGTTTCGTGCCTCACCGCCTCAAGAAAGCGCAAAGGTAAACAAAGCGTGACGTCTTTTTTTTCAAAGGGCTGTTGCACTGGATCTTAAGCATGCCAATTTCCAAAGCAGTTTTAGTTCTTGACAAAGGGGCGGGGCAATTCAAAGCAGTCATTTGAAATAACGCATGTGATTTTTCCTTTGTTCCCCAAAACAGAGCGTCTGTATTGTGTTCGCCACGCCGATGGCAAAGTGAGGCTCTACAAGAATTTGTGTTCCATTCCCATTGAACCGAATGAAAAAGTCAAATTTCTTTATCTTGAGAGCTGCGACGATTTTAGAGTCCGTCCCCAGTTCGTGCCAAAACTTAACCCCATCACGCCAGAGGAAGGTGAGTATTAAATGTTTGTTGGATTTTTAAAAATTTTGCTTAAGTGGAAATGTAGACAACCATAGTAATCAGCTTTCAATGTTTAGTTGGGAAGCATACACCCGAAATCCACATGGCAACTTATAGTAAGAGAAATATGTCACCATGCAGTATTTTATGGTGCACTTGTGTTTGTGAATTTGCCGCCTTTTTCAGTAATATTATCTGTTCAGCAGGACAGAACAAAATGAATAAAAATGTCACAACATAATTGTCAGAATAACCAATGCCCTCCTTAAATGGTCAACTTTTTCTGACAGCATGATTTTGAACAGGTTAATGTTTCTAGTACATTTATTTAGTTATGTTGCATACCGTACATTGTTTACAGTGATATCATTGTATTTCTGGCATACTGAAATTTTGGCTGGTAACATTACAACAATATACCACAATAAGATGTTATTTGTGATTGTTGTGACTAATGCTAAATTACATCGCACCTCATTCCTGATGAAATTTAAAGAATGGTGCTTGGACTTTTGGTCATTATATATGATTTAGCTACTTACTGAATTCACCAGTATGTGGCGCGGCGACGAACAGAGCTGAATCCAGCTTCTCTCTCTTTTCCCGCCTTCATTCAGTTGATCCCAACCAGTATCTGTGTGGACTGAAGGATGGACATTTCGACTGGTATTGCAGTCCCTGTGCACTAGAGCGAAACGGAGCCGTTTACGTGCATAAAAGAAGCCACAAATGCCCACCAAGTTAGCCGCTGTTCTGTTTGTTTTCAACTAAATGCCTGTTGTAGCCTAGAACAGTTTTAACCTATTTTGTTGAGACACACAAGACGCACGTGCATTTGAGCTGGAAAAAATGAGTTCGATTTTATCATTGTTCAGAATTCTAATTTTCAATATTACAAGAAAAAATAGGTTTCGATACGATATATTTTCTGCACTTTGGTAGCAAATCCAACTTAACCTTTTTCACCACGAGCAATCTGGTACAGCCTCTTTGGATTGAAAGTTTTTATCCCTGGATGTTTCTCGTTGTTCTCCATGTGCAGAGACGACATGTAAACCTGATCCACACAGCATGCCGCCAGAAGATGAGCTCGCAGGCACCGTACCTTCCCCCACCGAATCTCCTGGCATCCAACCCCCTACCGCGTGGACAACGGCCAGTTGGCCGCCCTTCAGACCTCCAAGCACCCACAGCGTACCTCTAACAACCAAGCTTCCACCAACCAAAGCTCCAAGCACCAATCTCCCTACTTCCAAAGCAACATTTATTCCATCGCTATCCACCCAGCATGAAGTAACCAATCCTAAAAGTAGCCAAACCCCCGGCAATTCGACGCCTATCACTTTGCCACCTGTCGGGCTGCCAGGCACCCACAACGTTCCCCTTACCACCCACCAACCACCTACCGAACTTCCCAGCACCAAACTGTCTTTCTCTTCCACAGTAGTCGCTTCGGCAACCTTCGAACCCCTAAGCACTCACACTGCACTTCTTTCTACCCTGCATCCACTAACCGAACCACCAAGCCAAGCACCCACCATCAATCATAAACCCACCGAGCCTCCCACCACAACCCACCAGCCTCCTGACTTTCCCACACCCCCATCCTCCCCACGTTCCTATGAACCTCCTGGCAGTCAGACGCCATTCACAACCACCAACCCTACGGCATCAAAATCAAGCTTCCCTAAACCGCCAGTCGAACCCCCATCAGCCGGTCCACCCTCTCCCGAGCCCAGAACAAGCAAAGCCCCCAGATTGACGGGAGCACAAACCCCATCTTCACCGACTCCTCGCTCCCATTTCCCTCCCCTCCAACGATTCTGCATTCCAAAGTCACAAGGCAGATACACGTGCCAGTGCCCGACAGATGAGCGACCACCAGTTATTGAATTCGAAATGCCAAGCATCTTAAAACGCAAAATGCAATTTTAAATGTCCTGTTAATAATCTGGTAATTCGTGTCACACCTCACTGTTCTATTGAACGACGTGTAGGCAGTCTGCTGATCTGCATAAGGCAAAAGAACAAGAAAGCTTCTTTTTTGTTTATCTCGAATGATATGAACTGCACATGGAATCAATTTATGATGACCTCCAAACATGCTTACTGCATTGCTGCTGGTTGTACAAAGACATGCAGAGGAAAGTTTAATAAAAGAAATGGCAGTGGAACAACACAAAATTACTTTTCAAGAGACATTAATGTAATTTTTTTCATTAATCAAAATGTTCTTTCCAAAGAAGTAACTAGAGTTGAGATGTTTATTTTTAAAATCAGGTCCTTTAAAGGATCCAGGAAATGAATTTTTCGTGGAATCATTTTTTGTGCATCTCTCTACTCTTCTTCCATGTATGAAGATTGCTTGACATCTTTTTTGAGTTACGTGAACTGAATGGTGCACTTTTTCAAACATTAAAAATTGACCAAGAATTTCTGGCAAGTGAGGGCGCTTTTGCTTTGATGTAAATCCAAGAAGACATGGTTCAGCTTCCATGTTTTCATCTGAGAACATTTCTGTGAAAAGGATTTTTGCTGGATTATTGCCATACACTTGCACAGCAGTAAAATGCCAAAGAAAAAAATCTGCCATAGCAGTGGTTAAAAAATATCTAGAAATTTTCTTTGCACAAATCAGTGCAACATTGAGATTCAGTGCCTTGGGTTGCACCATGAATATCCAAATAGCATTAACATGAAACCAAAAATGCATCAAAATATGGGTAAAAATTGCAAGACAAAAATTTAAAATAAGGTTAGTTGAAACCCAAATATGTAATTTCAAGGGTTTTTAGTAAAATGTATAGAAATATTTCTATTTCCTGGTTTCTTTTAATTGAGGAGAATCCGTACGTTTTGTCGTTGGGCCCCAATGTGCGGACGAGCGTTATTACATAAGGATGAATTACGTCTGTCGTAGGGATACAGCCCTCTTCAACTCTTTGAGGCAAGAAATTCCTCAGAGGTAACTCTGGCGGAAGTTTCAGATGAAATTCTGAAGTTTGCGATTCAAGCTCTTTTGACAGAAAATTGTAACAATATAACGTTTTACCTCTCTGAAGATGGACGAGTCTAGCTGGTTTTTGGAGCGAGGCGCTTCTCCTCAGTATCTCTGTGTCCATAATGTTTTACCACTTATTGTTTAAACTATGTCTCATGTAGGCAGTATGCATTTGTATATACACCCTCCTGCAAGAACCAATTCTGGCACTGTAACTCTTTGGGCCATTTTAGAAGTTCCCGTTAATTTTCTTTGCGAATAATACTGGTATGTACAAACTCAGACTGATGATTTGAAAAAAAGACCTGGACCACTCCCAAAGGGAGATGGATTATAGCTGTGGCTTAAAAACAAGACAATTTCATAGCTGTAAACTAAATCAGATTACATGGAAGAGTAAAAATCAAGAGTTGTAACAATTATTTGTTTGTAAAAGTATGTCTCGAGATTTCTTCTTTTCATTCCGCTTGGACGTGATGGACCTCAGTTTAGTGAAATGTATGAGTGGTAAATTAGGGAAATTTGCAAGACTTTAACTTAAAAAACTGCGAGCCATTTCCTGTTCGGCATCTGAAAGACGGTCCGAAACGTTTAAGCTTATTTTCGTATATTTCAAAATATTTTTGGGCCAGCTCGCACGTGAAGTTTTGACGAGGGTTTGGACATAATTATTTTCCAGACTGTGTCTCTCTCTTTTTTTTTTGTTGCAGGTGGAACGTGCGTTCGCTACAATGGGAGAGTCAAAGTGTACTGCAGTCTCTGTGCTTTCGACCAGACAGGAAATACCATCGAGGGTGTGCTCCCATTACACCATGCTAGGTGCAAAAGTAAGCAGGTCTCCCTCGCATTATAACGCCCTCAGTTTTGCTGCCCGCATAACATTCATTATGTTACTTACTTGCTGATTTCACCATGCCTTTTAAGTAGATGTCATATCAGAGATGTGTAGTTGCGATTGGAAATGATACGTGCTCCCATGCGCGTGTTAATACTCGGCCACAGAGCGTTGATTCGCAAACGGCCTGACATTCGTTAAGTTCAAGCAGATTTAGGGAAGGGAGGCAGCGGGGCCATGCCTCCAAGACAACTTGATAAGCGAAAGGCAATTTCTTGGCTCTTTTTGATTTCATCCCACTTCATTTCTAAAACGTGTAGGCTAGAAAACCTCAAAATTTACTCTTACTGCTCAGAATAATATGGAAGGCTACTTATAGAATAGAAATTCCTTTATTTTTGCCTCTTCCCTCGAAACAAATATTTTTTAGACCCTTTGAAAACTGTGGATTCTCCCTTGCTGGCGTCTTGCTTTCTGGCAGTAGGGTGGTATAAAGAGTTTATGACTTCATGCCTTTATTACTGTACGTGAGGCACGGGCTTCAAAACCGGACCAGTAATTCAGATTACTCTTAAGATGGGGAAGTGAGCCAGGGACGTGTTGTACCGGAAACAAGCATTGCAATAGCACACTGCAATATATTCATATCACGAACCTTCATCTTATTCTTCTCAACAAAACGACAATGACACGCTCAGTAAAAGTGGGTCTGATGTCGCAAACTCAACTTGAACAAAATTGCATTGGAAAAAGCCAAAATGACGTCTATTTGGTGTAAGACTCTGTTCTGCCGATTTATAATGATTTACTTTTTGTAAGACTCTCTCAAACGCCATTAACTTATTTCGACAGACTGGCTCTCTAAAAACCAAAAGTGCAAGGATCCTTATGCTAACATACCTCCTGTTCCGCCAACAAATGGTAAGTCAAATGTTTAAGAGTACCCGCAGCTCTTATCCTAGTTATCCATTAGGATTTCTGTTGGAATTCTTTTATTAGGTGTCAGTTAGGCTTTTTTCGCAGAAATTAATATCTGCAGACAACTAAGGGAGACTGTATAAACTGAACCGAACGCTAGCCGAACACTAGTAATGTCATTTATTACAAACTGAGGGTTATCCATAATGCTCCAAAAATGAGGCCATGAAGCATGCGCAGTAGAAAACTTTTGCAGTCATGCAAAGAATTCGCCCATCGTAGAAAACGGAGTAAACCGAATATGGCACCCTCTACGTTTTCAATGGCCCGTTCACACTTCTTGCCTCCTAGCCATTTATGCGCGTGATTTGTTGGTGAAAAGGTCTTTATGTCTATTGTTGTGTGGTTGCATGCAGAATGCAGTTCTGAAAGTAGGTTGCGTCATTCCGAGAAAACGAGGGGAACCCTCGCCCTGTGCTTGTAGTGGATGAACCCTGTGCATGCTAAATTATGCATGTAGCCATTGTAAAAATTGTTCAGTTTAGAGAAGTCGTGGCACCTTGAGTACGGTAGTATCTGTAAAGACGCCTTTCCATATGTATTGGGCGTACATTTGAAAGCGGCCATCAAAATTAGAAAGGGGAATGATACCATATGACTCTATATAGTCGATGGTCATGGTATCGATTTATTTCTGTATATGCATTCAAAATGGCATATTTATGGCTTTTACAACCCGTTCTCCCTTTTTAGTGATATTGAATACATTTCAGTCGTCGAAAGTCTGAACAATTCAGTACAATCAGCTTTAATGTTTTGCTCACCACATAAAAGTGGGAGGGGTGATTCAATGCCCCCCCCAAAAAAAGAAACATGTGGGGGGATATATACCCTCATCCTCCCGGGATTTACTCCAATGCCATACACATTCATATCCATAACTTGTTTTATGCAGTTAACCAAACGAGTNTCAAGAAACGAAATGTTGCCATGCCGCTCTAGTCGTCTGTCACCATGAATAGCTTGAAATCCCACACTGTGGATTATCCACAATGCTCCAAAAATGAGGCCATGAAGCATGCGCAGTAGAAAACTTTTGCAGTCATGCGAAGAATCCGCCCATCGTAGAAAACGGAGTAAACCGAGTATGGCACCCCTCTACGTTTTCAATGGCCCGTCACACTTCTTGCCTCCCAGCCATTTGTGCGCATGATTTGATGGTGAAAAGGTTTTTATGTCTATTGTTGTGTGGTTGCATGCAGAATGCAGTTCTGAAAGTAGGTTGCGCGTCATTCCGAGAAAACGAGGGGAACCCTCGCCCTGTGCTTGTAGTGGACCCTGTGCATGCTAAATTATGCATGTAGCCATTGTAAAAATTGTTCAGTTTAGAGAGGTCATGGCACCTTGAGTACGGTAGTATCTGTAAAGGCGCCTATACCCAGCAAGAAATGAGACCGAGGGGTACCCCCCAACATGTCCAATCCCTATACACATTCTAGACTATTGTTACTTAACACATCCCCCCAAGATGTCTGAAAGGGATTCCCCAGATTCTTGCGAGACAATGACCAACACAAAGCGGGGGGGGGGGGTTTCTCTCCGTCTCATACCTTGCTGCATATGAAGGCGCCTTTCCATATGTATTGGGCGTACATTTGAAAACAGCCATCAAAATTTGAAAGAGGCAATGATACCATATGACTCTATATGGTCGATGGTCATGGTATCGATTTTTATCTGTATTATACATTCAGAATGGCATATTTATGGCTTTTAAAAACCGTTCTCCCTTTTTAGTGATATTGAATACATTTCAGTCGTCGGAAGTCTGAACAATTCGTCACAATCAGCTTTAATGTTTTGCTCACCACATAAAAGTGGGAGGGGTGATTCAATGCCCCCCCCCAAAAAAAAATGTGGGGGGATATATACCCTCATCCTCCCGGGATTTACTCCTATGGCATAACATTCATATTCATAACTTGTTTTATGCAGTTAACCACGAGAAGNCACCATTGTGGGTTGGAAGGCACACAGTATCGATGGTACTGCAGTCCTTGTTCCATAGAGAGAAACAATGCTACATGGACCGAGCGGGGGAATTGTAAAAAGAACCCAATGTCTCTAAGTAAGTATTATCCCATGGAGAGGGCTACGCCTCTAAAGTCGGGGATGGCGTCACGCACCTGCGGTTGACCACTCCCCCTTCAACAGAGCTGTTTATAGAGAGAGCTGCGACAATCTTAATTGTTGGAACTAGAAAGGTGCATGGATTATGCTCAGTGTACATTGACAGTGAGCACACCATAGCTGCACGTTATGCTGCATACATAATGAACAGCCATTTTGGTTCCAAAGCGTGAAGTTGGCACTATAGACCTTTTTCCTGTGATGTCATGATCGTGTTGGACCTATGGTGTGTTGTGATGGTGATGTGCACAGTGTTGCGATGGTAATCTACATATTCAAGATAAACTAGTCAAGCATGCAGCTTTAGCACGTGGTTGAAACTGCCCGTAGGAATATATGCGATCACCGTGGCCAAGGCTGTCCACATGTGGTATAAGCCTTTTGCGAGTTAAAGTTGAATAAAATCTGGCACCCTTCATTGAGTTCTTTAAATTTACGTGAACATAACAATTGGAATTCTCCATACTAAGGCCACAGTTGCTATACCTCGTGATTCGGGGCAAGGTTTTCCTTAGTTACATAAGAGACGCCTTGCAACAATACACTGTTCTCAATGGAAAAGAAGGGCACGAAGGAACCAGCCCATTCCAGAGATGGTGGTCGCTTAGCTAAAGCTTACCCCGAATCACGAGGTATAGCAACAGTGTCTTTAGTCTGGGGAATTCAAATTGTTATGTTTATGTGCAATCAGATAACTCAGTATACCAGATTGTATTCAAATTAAACTCGGAAATGGCTTATTGTTTACATTTTTTTCATCAAGTGGGCGGACAAATAGTTTCGTTGTACATGCTATCTTTTAGGTCCACATTTCTGAACAGAACCCCTACATCCGTAGAACGTGTGCCCAATTTAATATAACAGCTGTGTAAAAAGTTGAAAGAATTAATGGAAAGTTTGGAAGAACACACAACTAAACAGTTTTAATCAGATTGATGCACATAAAGCTTAATGCCTCTCCTACGACTCGGACGAATTATTTCAGCGAAGTTTTTTGGTTTGTAGTAACTTGTACTCTAATCACTCAAACAGATCCGATCTGCATACCTGAACCGGGCATCACCACTCTACCGCCCTCCACCCATGCGCCCGTTTCTCGCACCGTCTTCCCACCCTTGGACCGCTTGTGCATCCCCGGTTCTGCAGGCACGTACTCCAACTGCAGCTGTCCAGAAGGCAAGAAACCCCCAATAATTCCATCCGCTCTGCCAGACATCGTTGCTCAGCATTGTGACCAGTCTCGGGGTATCCCCAGAGAACAGCAAAGACCTAATTAGAATACAGCAACCAGTCACTCATTACTGTATTTCAAAGACAAATGGATATGGTCAGCTGTGAATAGCAAATGACATCCTCAATAGTTTGAATATTTTCTTATTCGTTTTAGATAACTTTCAATCAATACGCAATTTCATTATTATACCAGATTTCTGTTAACAGTGATGTTTTATATATTTGTAAAATGCACTTAAGAAATAAATTACCAAAGAGAAATATGATACAAATATACTAAATAATAGAAAGCTACACATTTACTGAATAATGTTACACGTGCCATGAACAGTGAAATGCGTTGTGGCATCTCTCACACGCACGCGTTTGTGTGTACAGTCATCCTACTGTAAGTCCCGGTGCTCATCACTCTTCTACAGCGGATGGTTACAACAGAGCTGATTTTTTTTATTCTTATTTATTATTTGTTTTTTTTGCGGTGCCAAATATTTTGGACGTGTCCTCGAAAGTTGCGGTGGAACGTTCTGTACATGTTGTTGGTAACAATTCGTGAGAGTAGAACGCCCTGCGTCTGGGCTTAAAAGCCGGGAAGGACTTCCGCCAGCCCCCTCCCCAACCCATTGCCCTTGCGGGTATAGGATGACCTGATTTAACCGTGCTGCTTGACGTATTTTTGTTTTCGAATCCTCGTTGCATAGAAGTGGTCTTACTTCTCAACAATAACTTAGTGCGGTACGGTACGCTTCTGCTTGCGCCATGAGACAGTGGGCACAGAATGCACTGTGCTAATGTTGTAAAGTTACCCACAAAGCCTCTACTTCCGTGACAAAATTGTTGTAGGGGCATTGCCCATCCCAGTGCCTTTAAAGAGCGGTACGGTTGAGCCGAGCCAAGTTTCTGCATTCAGTGTAGTTCACGTCACATGCACCTGTCATAGAGCGATGTCTATACATAGAATTTGCAAAAAGGCACGACAACGCAGAGCGGGGCATTGCTTCATGTTCGGAAACAAACGGATGTGAGTCAGTAGGTATAACATCCCAGGAAAATTTAATACAACTGAAGAATTGAAGTCAGGATACAGGTCGTGTGGTCCCACAAAAAATTGTCGTAACTCTTACTTGTGTCTAAATACTTCGTGAGATGGGCTGTGAGTATTTTATGTGGAGATTTCATTCAAAGACAGACTGTCTTCCGCTAAAGGTAGGGTATTATGTAATTTTTGGAAATATTCGTGTCGAGAATAGAGATGCACTAGATGGGTGTTTTCCTCTTTTTCAAAATGGTTGAAAACTGCATGAGTCAAATTGAAGTGGGTACTGTGACAGACAACGAATGGTACTAGAACAGTTGATTCAGAATTTCCGGAATTCGGGAAGACGCTATTATGATTGTGACGTGCATCCACACTGAAGGCAGTTTGATTGTCGCTTGTCACTCGAGTAGCAGAAATAAGCTGTCCTTAGTGAGGTCCACTGGCGTAAATTTGCACCGGGAAATTTGCGGAGTGGGAGAAAATTGCTTGGCTGTGGCATTTAAAGACAAAAGAGACAATGTGTATCTTTAATATTTACCTGTATTAAACCTCTGCTGAATCTTACCTCAAAATGGCGCATATGTGGCTTTAAAAATTTTGTCTCCATTTTTAGTGCTTTTTCATATATTTTACTACAACTTTCCAATTCGCCTTAATTGTTTCTCACTGAGAAAGGGAGGGGGTTGATCCAATAGCCCCCCCAAAAAAGGGTGTTTGGGTGCATACCCCCACCCCCGGGGGGATTTAGCCCATTTGTGAGGTCATTCGGTACAAGATCCCTGTCAATGAGGTCTTAGAGTGTGGTCGTTATTTAAAGCTACCAGAGAAAAGGAGAACCTATGTGTGGTCATATACAGGAAATTTTGTTCCAAGGTTTTTAATAGGAAAATATATGGAATGTTGTATTCATATGGAGAAGGAATCCTCTTGCCAGTATGGATCCAAGGGGTGCATGGCAAGTTTTCGGCTGGAGAATTCAGGATTAATAACCCCCTGGCGCATGTTACGCATGGGCATAAATACCGGGGGTGGGGGATATATTCCCCTCCCCCACACACCCACCCACACACACTTTTTGAGGTGCAGGTGATGGGCTAATGAATCATCCCCCTTTTTGTGATAAGCAAAAAAAAAAAAAAAACCGGACTGTGAAGAATTTGTAAGATTACCCAAAGGCTACAATGTTTGCAATATCACTAAAAAGGCAAAACAATCTTAAAAGCCATAAATATTCCATTCTCATGTAAGATAATATTGTGCATGAATTTGAAAAACATTACGGATGTACATTGTACATCTTTATCGTAAAAACGCCCCCTGTATAGTGAATATAGTGTAGCGCCCTCCCCCTTCCGCTTTTCAAATTTCCATGGCCAGGCAAGTCACCTTTCCCCATCCCCCACCCCACCCCCAACTTCCAGCACAGACTTTAATACGCCACTGTTGTACATGTAGTTGGTTCTCATAGCGGACTCCAAATACTCATTCCAGTAAATGTAAATGAGTTCCTCATAAAAACTACTCAAAAGGAGTCAATTTCTACTCTTTCGAGGAGCCATGTAGTATGACAACTTGAATTTTGTTTTTCGTTTTTATGGCTCGTCTTTGGTAGTGGTTTTATAAGGAGAGTGAGTTTTCCACTTTTACACTTAGCCTGTTAAAATACCAAGTACTGTCCGAAGTTTTCGGGGCTGCGTTTCAGTAGGAAATTTAGCTGTTGTATTGCTCGGCATGACATGTAAAAGAACTTCCAACCAGCACATTGCTTTTGCGAAGGTAATTTTTTAGTTTGTCCATTAAGGTAATTCATAGGACAATAGAACAGTTTTTGTAAATAAATTAAGCATTTAATGTGCTAACTTTTGTCATGTTTTGAGAGAGACCGAAGATAACTGATGAAGGATTTATACAGATATTAAAAGAAAATTCATTGCAAATTTTTTCAGTGTGGTTGCAAATTGAATAACTTTTTCACAAGGCCTGTTCATTTGTTTAGTGCGGCTTTGGAGAAATTCATCAGCACTCTACTTTTAGGACGAAGCTAAGCTCTTAATATTCTGATAATGTTGTTAGCGATCTAGTGTGTTTGTAATAAATATTAAAAAAGTGGCAATACGCGGAGCAAAAATCATATTTTTTATGTGTTTTATTTTGTTGGCATAGAAAAGGGAAGATTAAGAGATTCAGGACCTTTTTTCTTCTCTTGAAAAAGATGAAAGCAAAAACGCGGGTGTAGCTCCATAAGGTAATCACAAAATAATACGGTTCCTGCATTCATAGTGGAACAAAAGGGGGCGCCCTTCAGACGTTGCTGGGACCCACCAGTTGTACCTCTTATCACAGATTCAAAGCTGGCACGACACAGGCCTACTACAAGGTCAACTTACTCGTCGGTTTTGAATCATTTTTGTGTTGTATGCGACGCATGGCGTATGCCAAGAAATATCGAACACCTTGTCAAAACGTTGCCGTTTTGTGTGTTTTTCTGAAGTAGGCCGCTGGAGCTGGGTTAGAGTAAGTTTTTGAACAACCTACATGTATTATACGCCTTCCCGGTTTGCCTGAGTTGTTGCAAAAAGAAAACAAAGTCGATCATTTGTTTTAGATTTGGATTTCGGCAGTGCATAGCAAAACGGGGGGGTGATAGGCAAAGGATTCATTACGCCCCCCCTCCCGCGAAGAGTCTGTCTACTGAGTTTCGCAGTTCCGACCGTAAGAATTCAATGTGGAGTATCTCATGGAGGATTGAGGGGCGGAGAGAGCGACAAACTTGGGGAAGCTTGTTTTTCTTTTCTTTTTTTATCAACTGGAAATGAAACCAAAAGCACTTCCGGATTGGTTCAGACACTATTTTTTTCTGTGAAATACGGACAAAAGGTGCGGATTGTTTCTCAGAAATATAATTTTCCATTCTTCGACCTCGAACCTGGACATACAGGTGCGTGGCCTTATAGTCTTATAATTTATATCATGCAAAGGTCAAATGTAATACTTTTCACGATCAAACAGACATCGATTTTTCAAATTGACAGGATACTCCTAAATATGCTTTTTAAAATATTTTTAGTGTCTCATTTTTGTGTCGATATTGGCAACGATTTAAACTCTTTCTCTGAGATGCTTTCAATAAGCTATTTTTTTTAATTTCAAACAAACTATGAAATGAACAGTGCCTGCCTGTTTGCATGACATCACAACAACAGCGTCCACAGATGTCTGGAAAAGCACAAGCAGTTTTAACCGCTTAATTTAAAAGTACACTTTTCAATACATTTAACTGAAAAGGGTTGCCAAATAGTTTTCATAAAAAGAAGAGGACTATAATGAAGTAGCACAAAACGGCATGTGTAAGAAAATTTAAAGGGCCTTGTAACTGGGACGTGTGCTTCTTTTGGGATTTTTGTCCTTCCAGAATTTGGGCTGACCGTAAGGGACTGAACTCACTTGCATCTTGCTCTCACCAGACTTCACAGGCCTTTGTCATTCCTTAACCCCATAGAAGACTGGCGGCATAGCAACAGGAGAGCTCCACCATTAGCCAAAACGGAGGCAGTTTAGCCAACGGGATGTTTTTACTCAGTGGCCTGCCTACGTCACACCTGCTTCACATTCTTTTGATATGTTTGGTAGTCAGTTGTACAGAAGGTAAATGCTTAAGCATTGGTACGCAGATTTTACTTAAATCAATTTCCCCCAGCATAGCCTTGGCCAATAAAAAAAGGCAGTCGTTTAGTAGTAGCATAGATCTATACTGTTTAAGTTAGGATTAAAAAGTAGCCATCTTTGAAACGTTTCCTGTGGTTTAAAATAGAGGAAATCAGATTTTGTGACCCTGTGGCAATACTGTCAGGGATATGCATGTTGAGGTGCTTCAACTACTACGCCTGACGGGTTTCATTCACACACCCCCCAACACACACACACACAAGTGTGTATTTGCCTGCAACTGGGGACCCCCTATTGTTCCTCTTTTGTTTGTACTTTAACTTTTTCAGAAGACCACCGATATGTTTTGTACACATTTGTCAATCGGGGACCCTCTGTCAATCGGGGACTTTATTGTCCTCTATTGTTCAGGTTCCCCAATTGAATGCAGAAACAAACACACATACACCTCCATTGGTAGCAAAGAGAGAAACTAGGACGACATTGGGTTCAGCTGCTGCCCAAGATAGTAAACCCCTCACTTGTCTGTGGTTTAGATCATGCGTAGGTCTACCTTTGCAACAAGTGATTGGCAAGCAGGCTGTGAGTGCATGCCCTATCTCGTCCATGCACGCTAAACCCCATCATTTCTCCCTTTCGGCCATTGATTTTTAATCATTGTAGAATTTGATCCACAGGTGCAAAACATGTGGATGAAAGCCTCGAGGAACTCACCGCCAATGGAAACACTTTACTGAGCAAGAGCAGCGAGGAGAATGTTGCGGTCGTTGTTATCGGAGAAGGTGACAGCACGTCAAACGAGGTAGACGACGATGATGGAAACGATAGCGGAGGAATGGCCACTGAACGGCCAGCGCCGACAACAGCAGGTACAGCGACCAGTTCTGACAGCGATGGGGAAAACGATGACAACGGTGACGATGATGAAAACGATGGTGGGGTGAAACCAAGCAAAGGAACAACCCCGGGTCCCCTCCCACCTCCCGGGCCATCCTACTGTCTCGTAACTCCCCGTCAGAACGGGGTCAAATGCAGAGGCTGCAAGGCTGTAGATATCCCAACATTACCTTCTCTTCCAACGACCAGCTGTCTAAACAAGAAGACCAGAAATTGTTTCCGTGGTCAAAGCAGCTTGATTGACAAAGAGCTTATACCGCCGAAGACAGAGGAGATTCCCACCTTACCACCCCCTAGGTTGTCCCTGGCTGAGCAGATCACACTGGCCGTTGGGATTGTCGGGGTCACATCCATAACGAGCGGGGTGATCCTGTGGGCCTTCAGGAGTCTGTCGCCACGTCGTGCGGCACAGGAAGCTCGGAGAGACTTGGAACGGCTTGCCATGGCGGGTGAAGAAGTTAGCGAGAAATTATTTCGAGTTTTAGTTCGAGCGGATAGACGGTCAGCTTCCACGACAACTATCACAACGTCAGTTTAACACCCGACGCAACTGACATGGGATGGTTGTTGCAAGCCTCAAGCCCATCTTAGTATAATGTAACAACCGTTTGGGTGACTTTATCAGTCATTATATAGAAGAACATTTCTTTCAGTTGCATCTGTTTACATTCATTTGGCACCTTTGTTTATGGATGGCTACAATTTTTTTTAACCAATTCCACAAATTTAAGTGATTGATGGGGCTATGAATTATTTCTGTGTGCGGTCTCCAGACGATTCGAGGTTGTATTGCTTGTTAGTCCAATGGTAGATATTCTGCGCCGGATTGTGTGTGGCAATCCTCAGCAATCGTCTTTCGTTTTTAATTAACGGGCACGAAGTGCAAAGATGCTGATGTAAAGATGAAAAGCTGCTTACGCAGCTCCCTGTGCGGGCGCTGGGAAGTGCAAAATGCATTTTCACCAATTTTTGTGAAGGAAAGTACGTCGGCGTTATGGACGCGCAAAGTATTGTGGGTTACCTGCTGTCGTGATCAACGCAAATGTTTACAGTCTGAACGTCCCACGCGATATATGGAATGGTTGATTCTTCTGTTCTTGAGGCCTAATTCAATATGTACGTTTTTTTTGGGGGGGGGGGGGTTGGGGGTTGTTTTGTTTTGTTTTGTTTTTGATGCGATGCGTACCCAATGCGTTCATGCGTTTCACTTTCACGGGCGCAAATATTGACATCATTAACATAGCACACGTGTGCACTGCTATAGGCAAAGCTTGGTGCAAGTAATGACGCGCATGTGCAGGCGCCTTTATTGTTTAAATGTGCTCTGTGCAATGACTGCTCCAGCTCCAATCAAGGGATTGGATCCACTCGTTACGCCAAATTTCAGCCGAATTACTCCTGAACCTTTTCGTTTCTGAACATGATTCGATGCAGTAGGTGACAGATTTCAATAAGCATAAAAGCCAGTTAAGTCGTTTAGTGACGAATGTAGGAATTTATTCGGGGATTGGCAAAGAATGGAAGGGACGTCCTCAGGCAAACGCGAACATGCAATTGTGATATATTAATTTTCAGTGAGAATTTTTGGATTTTCAAGATCGTCAATTTAACGTCGAGAGCAGCGGAAGAATTGGAGAAACGAAGGTATCTCAAATATTGAACAGGTAAGGGCTTTTCGAGCACAAAGACACACCCCCTCTCAATCCACAACTGTCGTGGAACATCAACAATTATTTCTTAGTAACCATTATGCAAAAAAAGACCGATGATTTTCCCTCTGTTTCACCCTGTGATTATGTGACAGACTTGAAGTGGCTTGTGCAATCTAATACCGATATTAGCTGGAGATGAAAGTATTTTTGTAAAATTAACGACTTTTAAACGAATGAACCTTTTGTTGCAGTAATACAGTTGCTTGTTTCGTCTTGGGTCAGTAGGTTAGTACCAGTTTCGTTTTGGTAAGCATGATATTACTTTCTTTGCCTATCACACCTGCGAAATTTCTAATGGTTGATTGATCGGTTCACAGTATGGTTAGGGGGATCCGTTGCATGCTTGCATGTGATCCACCTGCAGCTGGTCAGTTGGTCAAGATCAGATCTGGTCGGCCAGCAATAAGCCTTCATTGTTAAATCCCTGTCTGAGTTGATGCTGTTCGGTTTACAAAATACAGTAACTGCAGAGTTTGGACATATAGGCTAGTAGAAAAAGAGCGGCAGGTTGAAGAGCCAGTACTCATGTAACTCCTTAGGGTAGCCTCTAGTTACCGTAGAGTGCTCGCTCATTTGGTCGATTGACACAGTTTTGCGAGAAATACGTTTCCAGTCAGTGCTGAAAATATTCTATGTCTAACACTAGTATAGCCTTGCAACAAAATTGAGGACCTTAGGACTGAATCGTGTAAAAATACCATTACTGTTTTACACAAAAAACTTCAAAAAGGTGATTAATAAGTGCGTAACCGAGGGCAAATTACTGGATTTTAACACTGAAATTCAAATTTTGTCAGAAGTTTATTGCCAGACATTTTAATGGGGTGCATCACAATACACATCAGATGGGCCTAAAATGAACCGGTCACCGAGTTCCTCATCATAAACTAGCCTTAAGTATTGTCCTTAACCGAGAAACGAAACCATGCCAGGCTGTCATCCAGGAAGCAGGTTTCTCGACATACACATATCTGTAATCCGGTTCTCAAAGTCAACCCGATTCAGTCTGCACGAGAGCTACAAAAGCAAATGGTAATTGCGCACTTCCCAGATACGAGCCGATGGTCATTATCGAGTGGAGGCCCGCTGTGTAGGCAGTCTTGTGGTCTTGCGAGCTGTGTAGTTTTTCTCTGCGAAGCACCGTGTTGCGTGAATGGGATTACTAAAAACGGTCCACCGCTGGATTTTTTGTTCACTTCCAGTGCAATCAGCATCACGTAATCGTATTTTGTAACGGGGGTGAATACGAGGTAAGTGGTTTTATTTGTTTTTCAGATTTTTTTTCTGATCAGCTGCCATAGCCGTTAAGTATAGTCCCACCAAAAAAAGTAATTTCATGAATCTCCAACTGCTAAAAAGTCGCTTCTGAAAATTTTAAAATTACCGAAAAAGATGCAAGTAGGCCTGTATATATATGCTTCCATGGGCAGGGTTTTAGCCCCTTTCCCCAAAACGAGAGAGCAATACGACCCGGTTTAATGATTTCAATACAAATTTCAAATGTTCCACAAAATATAGGCCAATATATCACCTCAATTTGGCCAACACATTTTGATAATATAGAAACTAAAAGTGGGATTTTAAAAAGTGAATTATTATCATAAATGTTTTGCGTCATGGAACAAGACGCCCATGCGTGTTTTAGGTATTTTTTCATTGTGCCACTATTACAAGATATGAAGAGCCCTCAGAGAGAGTTAACAGGAAGGGGTGATGCATCTATGCCCGTGTAGTCATTGTGCGACTTTGCTGAATACAACAAATAATAATGCGTCATCCAAACAGGTCGAATCATTGATTTTCAATGTCAAAATCGCTGTTGAGAAACTACGTGCTTACCAAGGATCGTATAGCGCCGATGGCGCAGATAGATAACTCTGCCCAAAAGGTGTAATTGCCATGAGCGCCATTTGAGCAAGCAATGCGCCTGCGCGCTTCACGGTAATGCGTAGGCGCAGGCGCACCAGGTGTATGTGCCTGCCGCGGCGCCTGCGCCTTTGCATTAATGTGCATTGCGTAGGCGTTTTGCTTGCTCAAATGGCGCTAATGCGGTTACAACGTTTATGGCCGTGTACGGCCGTGTACTTCGCCAGCCAGAAGGGTGCACCCTCGTATTTAGGCCAGAAATATGTCCGCTGAGCTCATTAAAAAAAGTTGTACACTCGAAATATTCTACATTAGAGGATCCTGAGAGCCATGGAACCGGGGAATTGAAGAAATCTGACACTGAATCTCTGGGCCGGACTCGGGGCTTCAAATTCTGAGCAGTTTGGATGCAATCTGGTCCGAAAGTGGCACTATTTGAGCCATTTTGCAGAGGGATGGTTTTTCAAAATGGCTACTTTTCTGGACAGGGATATTTTCTTCATTTTGGGGGTGGTCTGCTTCTGATGAAAATTTCTCAAAAATTCATTGG